GAGGAAGTGACCGAGACATCCGTCGAAAACGCTTGAGCATTTCCCCTAAAATTCTTCTTCTTCTCTTCTTTTTTCGCCGTTTTTTTATTTCGCATCTCGTCATGTCTATGAGCTGGAAAATGCTAGACACATTACCACTACTTATTTTTTCTCTTTTCTTTCCAATTTCTTCTTTTTTAAACATATTATCCTAGTTATTCTCTTCCCAGTTTTTTTCTTTTTTTTGTAAATAAATGAACCGGTTGCCTTTTTCGTTTCTATGGAAAAATATCTAAGTGAAAACAAACATATAGAGTGTTTGCTCCACACAGGACCATTCTTTACTTTTTTTCAAAATGTTGGTGGAGCGCTTTGCCCGGTCCCGTTTATGTCTACGTCGCCGGACACACACTCTTTTCAAAAAAAAAAGTGGAGGCATGACGAAAAGAATAGTAGAAGTAGAAGTAGAAGACGTCGAAGCAAGAAAAAACATGGAGTAGAAGAAGAGAAAAGAATTCCTTCGTTTTTCTCTTTCTGGACGTCTTCTATGTGTGTTTTTCAGACTATGCTGTTTGGTGGTTGATGAGGTTGGATGTGTGTAATGTTGTCGGAAAGATCGTATGTTTAGTCTTCTCGTTTGTTTTTGTTTGTGATTGTGTCCACACAGCGTGTCGTTTCCGAGATCAGATCACCGGAAGTTTCCTTTTTTGTTTCAGTGGTTTGTTCTTTGCATTTAGACTTAATCTATTGGTTAATTATTGCTCTTCAGTACCAGTCAATTTGATTTCCGGCATTTTCAGGAGTATGAAGCTCGGCTGTTAAGTTTCCGATCACTTTGAAAATTTAGGAGAATATAAAACAGACTTAGATTGAACACATTGCATTCACAGAATTTTTTTAATATTCCTAGTTTTTCAGCTATTTGCCGGTTTCTAAAGTATACATGTTTTTTACATTTTCAGTGCAAAAACAGGCCAGAAAGGGTTCTTTTAGAAATTGGTAGATAACAAGAATTTTCAAGACGTTCTGTGAATGCAAAGTTTTCAATCTAGGTCTGTTTCATACGCTCTGAACAACACTTTTCAGCATAGCTTCAGACTTCTGACAATGGTCGAAAATCAACCGAAAAATACGTTTTTGTATGTCTTATTTGGCTGGTACTGTTGATGGAAGAGGAAACAGCAAATTTTGGTTTCTAGGCCACTTAATAGGATATTAAGATTGTTCTGGAGTTTTGTAACTTCAAGTGCTCCATGATTTTGAACTCATTTCTCTAAAATTCAAAAATTCTATATAAAAACGTTATTCTCATTTTTAGTTCAAATTGTAAAAATTATTGCAAAGATTGAAGTTTTTGGCGGAAAAGTTTCATCATCCAATTTTAGATTCCAAAAAAAATTTTCTCTAAAAATGTTCGATTTTGAAAATTTCAAGTTTTTAGTTTTTTCCGAATTGCTTTTTTTTTGAGAATTTTTTGATTTTGAAAAAATTGAATTTTTCCTCGTTTTTCATTAATTTAGACATTTTCCGTATATTTTCCTGAATCCTCCAAATTTCAGATTTTTCTCAAGAATTTCGAAAACCTAGATATCTTCTCTTATAGAACCACACCCGAACGTCAACATTGAACCTATATATCTCAGTCCCTGTGAAAGATATCAAAAATCTCTCCACTGATAAAATATTGGTGATATTTTGATAACTATTTTATCAGTTGACAAATTTTTGATATCTTTTACAGCAATCAACATAATTGAGCTCAAAGTTAACTATAACTCCTTTCGTGATCGAATCGTTTCAACAACTTTGAATCATTGCCTCTAAAAGTACCAACTCTAGTTGACACAACTCTCTCCTTATTTGAGCAGCTGGTCTCTATTTTTTCGAGGTCAGGTCAAAGTTTTTTCGATACACACATTTCCCCTTTTTCTTTTTTTTTCAATAAATTTCCATCTGTCATCTTTATAGAGAAATATTTTTCGCCTTTTCCCCTACTTTACGATTTTCGAATTTCTCATTGATTTTCCCAGAAACGTTCAGAGTGTGAAGATCACACTTTCTTTCATTTTGTTCTCTATTCACTTTCAAAGCGGACAAAGAAAAATGTAAATTTCCAGGTATTCAAGTTTTCAAGGAGATTGAAGTTTGATTTTCCGGTGTTGGGTCTTGTTCGGTCAGCAGCGTCCAAAAAGACGGGTGAGTTAAACTTTGGAATTATTTTATTTAAAGTTACAATGAAATTTTAAGACCCCTGTCTCTCCGATTTGGTCCCAAGAAACAATATTCCTAATTTTGACTACCGTAAAATGGAAAAACGAACAAAAAATATATACACTAGGTTTTATGAAACCTTCTGTATATGTAATTTTTCGTGGAACCTGATATAAGAAATTTTTGACAAAAAGAGGTTTTTAAGTAAAGCTTGAAGATTATCAGATTAAAGATACAGAATGTATCAATCACCGTAATAGAAGGGCCCCTATATCATCAATTTTGAGCCCATATACCGTAAACACTCTAATAGAACGCCACCCGGACTGTCCACTTTGAGCCTATATATCTCACTTCTTTTGAAAGATATCAAAAAGTTGTCAGCTGATAAAATGTTGATCATGATATTTGCAACATTTTATTAGCAATCAATTTTTTATATCTCTCACAGAAAATGAGATACATGGACTCAAATTTGACGATTCGGGTGGCGTTCTATTAGAGTGTTTACGGTATTTCGGTTATTGGAAAAGCCATCGAGAATTCGTCAGCTGCTAAATTGTTTATCATAATATCAGAATTATTTTATCAGTGAGACACTTTTTGATATCTTTTACAGCAACCGAGATAATTGAGCTCAAACTTGACAGTGTGGGCCCTTCTATTACAGGTTTTCATAGCGTGGGAAACTATATTATTTGGCGGTTTTATTGTCAGAAAAAAAGCGGAACTTTCACATGTCTGCAACCAGGAAAAATGTCAACATTGAGAAGGGTTTTCGAATGAAAATGGTTGGATGAAGAATAATTTTTCTGATCCCTCAAACTCTGCAATAGAAGGGCCGCCTGACCTTCAAATTTGACCGTTTTTATCTTGGTTCCTATAAAAGATATCAAAAAATGTTTTACAGACAAAGTGATCATGATGTTATGATAAACATTTTGTTAGTTGATCAATTTTCGATATCTCTCACAGGAAATGAGATATATGGGCTCAAAGTTGACAATACCCTGTTATACTCGTACCTGTTATACTCGGTAGGTCGCCTTCGGTTCTTGAGTACCCTAAAATTAAAGACACTGTTTCACATTTTAACGGACTTATGGAAACTTGGAAAAACTAGAAATAAAACTTTCCAGTCCAAATTTCGCCAACTTGCTGCACAGATTCTTGGTCAATGAAACTTAAAAATTCCAATGATTTCAATACTCAGTACACACTTTCACTCTATCTCCCCCAACTGAAACAATTGAAACAGTCTCTCGATTTTTCCATAAAGAGCACTATTTCCAGAAGAGTACACAGACGAAACTGTACTTTCTCTCTCTTATCATCATCGTCACTTCCCTGTGTTATACAATGCCATTTTGCTCTTTCCTTTTTTTCAGTGACTTGTTTTTTTTTCAAATTCTAAATGTGACATTACTATTTTTCGCCTACAGATAAATATAATAACAGACAGATAAATATAATAACAGTAAACAATACGAATTCTTAGAATGTCTTAAATGTTGGCGTCATTTTTGTAAGCTGATGTTTGGTTCAAGTTTGAAAGCTTGACTTTGCAAAATTTTCTTTTAGCACTAAATGCATAGAATTTCAAAATTTCCTTCCCAAAATAAATAACATGTGTAGATGACGTCAAATCATCTCATTTCTGCTTCTGATGATGATCATTTCATCCGAGAAGGACACTCATTAGTCAGAAGGCGTGGGGCGAGAGAGTATTCATAAGCACTCTTCTTCTTCTGAGGAGCAGCAACCTCTTCTCATCGACCTACACCCCTCATTAGTGTATCTTATTTCGCATCGTTTTTTCGCATGTTTTTCGGGAAAACGGACACGGATTGCAGACGAAAAAAAGAAAGAAAAAAGAAATAATTTGGGTCGTAGAGGAAGAGAATGATGAGCACGCATTCTGGGAAAAAATAAAGATAGGACATTTGTTTCAAGCGATTCAGACTTTTATGGATGCTTGAGTTTTGGCTCGTAGGAGAGAGGTTGTTATATTAGGATTGACTAGGAAAATTTCCGTTTCTTTTTGAAAACGGTTACTAATCTAGTTTTACAAATCTCTGCCAATGGCTTGACCGGCAACACTTTTTCTGTCGGCAGAGAGTTTTTGTATCTATCTTAGACACTCTAACAGAGTACTGTCAACTTTCAGCTTATGTATCTCGTTCCCTGTAAAAGATATTAAAAAGTGGTCAACTGACAAAATGTTTATTAAAATATCAAAAACGTTTCGACCACCGTTTTATATCTTTTCCAGGAACCGAGATAAATTGGATTGAAGTTAAAAGTTAGGTAGGGCGTTCTATGACCGCTGCACAACCATTTCGGATGTTTCCTAAGAAGACAGTTTCCTGAAGTTATTGATTTTCTAAACTTCTTCAAAATTACCGTAACCCGAATGTTAGGCTTCGCAATACTTCAAATCCGTGATCCAAAGTTCAACTGGTAAGGTTTTGTGTTTCAAAACTGAAATCAAAGTTTTAAATTTGCTTTTTTCTGATCTGATAGAATTGGAAACTTCGAAGATTTGAAAACTTTGTTATTTCATTTTTTTTCATTCAAAGTTTTGAAATTTCAAAAGTTCGAAAACTGTTATTACATATTTTTCTGAAACACTTTGTCATTTTTCAAACCTAAAAGATTTCCTGTATTATCACCCGCATTTGTTCTCTAATCTTTAATCTTATTGTACGCCCGCACTCGCACATGTGTTCCAAAGAGAGCACTCTCCTAATATTCGTGTGCCACCAAGAACAAAAAATCTCGATACTCGTTGAAAACTAACCCAAAGCGGTATGGTTCGCTTTTCTATTATTACGGTTATTGTGAGCGCATGGTTAGTTGTTATCTTTGTAATAAGAACATTGTGAGTTCTTCCTTGTTATAAGATTAAGCAAGTAGCGGCCGCGGTCGGCCGTCACTGGGTACTTTGTCGTGGATTCATCAATCCATTATTTCGGAAAGACGTTAAGTATCCTCCAGAAGTACCCTGTTCTAAATCCTGCGACCGACCTAGGTATGGTTAGTTGTTTTCGTTGTGATTTTGACTTCACATTTTGAGTTCTTCCTTTTTATGGAAGCGGGTATAATGGTTTTTGAAAGAGATACCATAACATCATTATGGCTTTCTATCAAAGTAGATTCATTGAACCAATTTAGTGAACATGAATTTAAAGTGGAATTTTCAAGAATTCCTTCTATTTTTTGTCCTACAGAATTCAAACTTTTACCACCTCTTCAAAGGACCCAAAGTCCAAAAAGTTCTATTTCAATTCAATTAAACTTTTTCTTCTCCAGACATTCCATTCGTTTGCCTTCAAAGTTCCCTTTAATTTCCTTTTTCAACTTCATCTTCTAGAACTTCTAATCTCTGAATTCACTGAATCGAAATGGAAATAATGAGCATGACCTGAATAGCGGGAACTAGTACATACAACACGTGATGGGCTGCTCAAAAGTTACCTGAGCTGCCATGAGCTTACTCTCTTTTCTTCGCACGTCTATCTCGTCATAATCCCATATTATTATCTCAAAACCAGAGAAAGAGAGGAAGCTTCGTAGTCAGTTACTTCTTCCTCTCTGCATTCTGAGGTTCTCAGATATTCCTCATTTTATTCTTCCCTATATTTCGAAACTAACCTACCAAAATCAACCCCTCGAATAGGTCAACAAAAAACGATGTATTCCGAGTGAGTCCTTCTCTTCCTTATGCTTTTTTCTTCTCTCTATCTTCGTCATCTTTTTTTCTTCCTTCTCGCCCCATCATTTTTTTTCTATCCTGACAAAAGAAATCGGTGTCAAGGGGCGTGTCAGTTTTGAAACCAAACCACATAAAAACGAAGCGAAGAGAAAGAAGAAGGAGAAGAGTCACATGAGAGTGTCTCAAAAATCGAACGCCTCCCTGGGGACCATCTTCTAGAAGACGGCGACGTCGAGTCCGCGGCGCTCCTCGCACTTCTCTGGTCCTGCCTTCTGTCAGACAGAGAGCACTCCTCCAATATTCTTGTGGAACCAAAAACAGAAAAAAGTTGATATTCCCTGAAAATTAACCTATAGCGATAATGGTTCGCTTCTCTATTATTACGGTTATTGTGAGCGCATGGTTAGTTGTTGTCGTTGTGATAAGCACATTGTGAGTTCTTCCTTGTTATAAGCTTGGGCAAATGGCGACCACGGTCGGCCACGACTCGGACCGTAGGCACTTTGTCCTGGACCAACCCGTCCGTTTTGGGACCAACCCTGACCGTACCCTTACCTATCCCTCTAGGTACAGCCTTGAATCTTTTAGAAGCGGGGTCTACGAGGACCACGTCTACAAATTTTGTAGCTTAAGATTCACAACTTCAATGCAAAGATCGTTGGATCTGTTGCAAGTTTTTCAGACGGCCTATAGGTGATCCTATACGTTTTGTTTGAGAGCCTGATGTTACGAATGACCTATAGCGCGATCTTTGAAGTTTCAATGTTCTTTCACTTTGACTTGAATTCTCTAGAACCTGAAGTTCTTTGTGTACTGTACTACAAGCATCACTAGGTCAGGGACCGTTTGTGTAAAGAATCGTCCGACCCAAATTCGCCAAATAAAAATCATCCTTTTTAATTGGGTATCATCCAGGTCCTTTCTCAGCTACACAGCACCCTATTTAATCGTTAAATTCTGAAAACCATCTCTTCCTTTTCAGCTGGTTAGCTCAGTGGATGGAGGCGAAAAAGGACCGCATCGATCCGGACGCGGAGAACGAGTATTGGGATGCCATCAAGGACCACAAGATCCAGAAAGAGATTCCCAAGTTAAACGACGAGGGAGAGATCAACTTGCCACCAACCGACGGAACGCCATATTTGAAAGTGGTTTGCATCTCGGACACCCATGAGCAATTGCATAATGTTACGGTAGGTGATTCTTGTTTTGATTCTTTGAATGTTACGAAAATTGGTTTGTTGTGTTTTACTATTAATTGATAGTTGCTCTCTAGATCTTTGATTTATTAGTATACGGTGTCTTGTCTTTCGAACCTCCGCAGCTGGAGATTGCCGAACATCCTGGGAATTGGGTGTACCAGGAAGTGGTGGAAAAGAGATTGACGTCAAGGAGTCATATCTCTGGGGGCCAATTCAGTAAAATTGTTTTGCAGGTCCCAGATGGTGACGTCTTGATCCACGCCGGTGATTTTACCAACAATGGAAAACGCGAGGAGTTGATCAAATTCAACGAGGAGATGACGCGTTTCCCACACAAATACAAATTGGTGGTGGCTGGAAATCACGAGTTGGGATTTGATCATGATGAGAATCAAAGTGACCGACAGGACCAGGATAAGGGGTTGGGTACCGAGGAGGGATACAATTTGCTCACCAATGTCACCTACCTTCAGGATAAGGAGATTGTGGTAAGTGGGAAAAATGTCATAGTTTCTTTTAGAATCAATATTCTTGGACTGAATAAAATATGGATGATAGAACTCGACAAGAACTACGAAATGATGCTATTTTAAAAATTGTATCTTGCCTATGAACAAAGTTACAAGGCCTTAAAGATGTTACCGTTTAGCTCAGACGGCTTTTGGCTTGTAACTTTGTTCATAGAAAAGATACAGTTCTCCAAATAGTATTGTTTTGAAGTACTTGTTGAGTTCTATCATATCTAGTTTAGTAAATTTCAAAATATTGATTCTAAAGTAATGCATGGGTTCGCAAAGGTCCGGTTTACAAGTATGGCATAAAGAGACATCTTCAGATTGATGGAGTAAAATTCTTTGGCTCATCATACCATCCACTTCGCGGCTTCCCATTTTACCGTACCCGTGCACGTGAGCTTAAAGAATGCTGGAGAGCAGTCCCAAACGACACTGACGTTCTTATCACACACACTCCACCACTAGGTTATCTCGATCAGTTTGGAGACGAGCGTTGGGGATGCCGAGATCTTCTGTCGACTGTCGAGAGAATCAAGCCAGCTTATCACATCTTCGGACACGTCCACGAGAGACACGGATGCCTCTTCAATGATCATACGGTAGGGGTTACTGTAGTTTTTATCCTGATTGATTTTTCGGTTACAGTACTTCATCAACGCCGCTCAATGCAACAAAGGAAACGTGATTCAAACCCGTCCATTTGTCTTCTACATTCCAAAAAAGACCTCATCCTGAAAAAATCTGTTTTTTATAATTAAAGTCCATCTCTCTTTTTTCTAGATTCATTTTCTTGTGATTTCTTCTCAGAAATTTTTCCAATTTTTTTTCTGTACTTTTTGTGCTGCTTGCCATACCCCAAATCTATCCCTTATTCTTTTCTCTCTTAAAATGCTTTACTCTATCCTTCAATTATTTTTTCTCCTAACAAACTCTTGCAATCACTAAGAAGACCATTTATTAATGTGTTTATTATAATTTTGTGAAAAATAAAAATGCCACTCGTTCAGTGATTTTTCCTTCAATGTGTTGTTGGGGGTGCTGGACACTTTCCGACCGAGTCCACAAACTTTTTCCACGTCGGCTTCATTTCCAGTTTTGTCTCATCGATGTATTTCAGGGGGACTCGCCAATCGCAGAACGTGATTAGAAGAGAGTCATTGTTGGCAGCGGATCCTGAATATTTAGATTTCAAGATCTTATGTTAGGATTTCAAGATACTGTAAAACCTGTATTAGAAGGGTCCCTTTAATAGGAGGGCCCCTCTAATAGAAGTTCCCTCCAAGAGAGGCGTGGAAAAGTAGAAAGTACCCTGTAATATTAGGTTGGCAACGTCCGGAGGGCCCTTCTATTATAGAAGGGCTTTCCGGAAGTACCATGGAACAATAGAAGGGCCGGCCCTTCTAATGCAGGTTTTACGATAATTTGGAAAAGCTATGCAAAACAGGTTGTACTCAAAACGTTCTGCTTAATATTAACCCATGAATCTAATTTTAAGCTGTAAGGAAAGGCTGCCCAATTCCCTATTTTTGACCGACTCTCGCCAATCTATCATCAAACAGGGCGATCAATCCGTTTCATACTTGCAAATCGGGCCTTTGCGAGACCTGCCAAAGTTTCCTACAGAATCAATAGTTCAAAACCAGTTTAATCAGATTTTATAGAACTCAACGAGCTCTACAAAATGATACTATTTGGAAAACTGTGTTTTCTTTATGAACAAAGTTACAAGCTATAAAGTGGCCGAACTCCGGCCGTGCAGCTCCAGGTACGGCCTGTTTTTTCGGTTTGGTTTGGTCTGCAACTTTGTTTATAGACAAGATAAAGTTTTCCAAATAGCATCATTTTGCAGTAATCGTCAAGTTCTATCATATCCAATTTGAAAAATCTCAAAATATTGATTCTTGCCCTGTTCAAAGCCCGACTTACAAGTGTGAACCAAACCATGCCGAAATTCTCTGCTTTTAAAAATCTCACCTCCAAAAATATACTCCTTGCCCACTTTGAATTTTGTCTGTCCACATGCGCTCTCCTGTGTAGCTGTGTTCATAATTTCTGGTAGCGTTATGTCTTTTGGTGCCTGAAACCAATTTATTAGTACTGATCCATCTTCTGTCTAATAACCTTGATAACTTTCAAATGTTCCAAACGATATGACATCATCAATCCCAGCCCATCTGTTTCTTTCGACAAAACTTTCACCTTTGAAACTGCAAACATATGGGAACATGTGAAGTTTAGGTTAAAAATCCGCTATGACTCACTCCACGAAGTTGCGCAATACCCATCAGTTTCAGTCTTGAAATCCACACAGCTACACGATTCGAAACATTGTGGGAGACTAAGAATAAGGATTGGTATGAATAGGAGAAGGAGCATTCTGGAAAGAAAAAAAGTGAAAGGGATTTAATGCAAAAGAAATAGTGAAAAGTGACACAAAGTAAGTGGACAGTAATGGCCGATAAAGTCCATCTGGCGACCTGTTTTTCGTCAATCGCATAGAAAAAACAACAAAAAAAAACGGAAAAAAAGGAAAAGAGAGAAAGAGATAAATATTGACGAATCTTCCACCTTACTTTCTAACCGTCTGACCAATACGGAGAGATGGAAATTAGGACACTGAAGATTACCTGTTGATAAATTGATATCACTAAAGGGATACATTTTTTTTTCAACAATAATTCAAGATGTTCAGTGAATGACAGTTAGCGGCGAATAGAACGAAATTGTCAGATTGTTCTGAAATCAAACGAAACAAACAATGCCTTTTTGTAACCACTGGAAACCCTGTAATAGAAGGTCCCCACAGTGTTAACTTTGGATCCGCGTCACTTCGAAACCACGACGTTTCGAAACCAGTCATTTCGAAACCGCGACACTTTGAAACCGGTCATTTCGAAACTGCGAGCAATTTTTTTCCTTTAATTTTGAGTCTTTTTTTTCCAATTTTCCTTTCATTTTTAAGTGACCGTGTTTTTTTCGGTTTCGAAATGACTGGTTTCGAAATGTCGCGTTTTCGAACTGACTGGTTTCGAAGTGTCGCGATTTCGAAGTGACGCGGAGCCTTAAGTTTGGCACAATTATCTCAAGTCCTATGCAAGATATCAAAAATTTGTCAACTGATAAAATGTTTGCGATATTCTGATAAACAATTTATTACTTGACAACTTTTTGATATCTGTTGAAGGAACCGAGATAAATTGTTAGAACGTTGAAAGTTAGAGAGCCCTTCTATTACAGGTGCTGCGGTAACAAATTTGTTGCCTTGCCTATTTTGAAGACAACTGTGATTTTTTTGCACATTTTTTCTGTAAATTTCAGATAACTTTATACTATTTTAGAGCCCAAAAGAAGGTTTTCAAAACATTCACTCAAAAAATCTACGGACTTGGAATCCCAAACGGAAATACAGGACACAAAACCTGGAAAACAAAAGGCAAGGCCCATTTATCAATTCTTGACTGTTACCCTTTTATACTCTCTTTTTCTGAACCACAAAACCAGCCCTCTGGTTTTTTGTTTTGGTTTTTTAATGCAAAATGATTTATGTCAATATATTCTGTTGTTTTGATTTGCTTTCTGTCTGGAAATCAAACTCTTGAACTCGTTCCTTCGACGAAAATCGAATTAAGAGGTTAACAACTTATGTAGTCAGTTTATTATCACAAAACAGGAAATTGAGAAACTAAGTAATAACCGTAAATTACATAAGAGAGCGCATTCAATTCCAGCTACTATAGCCGATTCGATAGGTGAGACTGTTTCGGGTCAACACGTCATGATAATATTGAATAGGAGGAGGAGGCGTAGACTTATTTAAAAGAATCTGTGTCCGGAGAAGAGCTAGTCACAGTTCACTGTGTCTGAAAGTCGCTTTTGATGCTGGAAGTCGTTTCTTCATCAGTTCAGCTCCAACTGCCTTGGCAATGTCAGACTGCCAAAGTTCGTAAGCATCCTTGCGGAACGAAGGTTGAAGAGATGGCTGGTCGTTCAAGTGAAGATTTGCAAATGGCTCAGATTTCGAAACTGGTGGCCAGGAGACAGTCTCAGTGCTAGGATTTCCAGTATTGATGAAATTCACAATAGCGCTCACAAGATGTCCCTCGAAGGTGGTATCCTTCTCGTTGAAAGGAATCTTATCCCGTCCGTCAAAGTTGAACAAAAATCTCAGTTCCGAAGCATGGAATGGTCCGCGAATCGGATGAGTTGGATCTTTAGTCGTCTCACTTTCATAATCAATCACATAGAAGTAGGTTTCCCACCCATGTTGCATCTTGAGTTCGATCTCATGAAGAGTGGGGATGTTGTACTGAAGATCACTGAGTAGCGTGGCAAATGCGGTCAAGTAGAAGCTGGAGTTTCCACTCATTGGACCATTCAGATAGAATTCTTCAACAAGACCAGAGAATCTTGCTGATGCAGTTCCAAATTCTTGTTCCACGGCGACTGAAACCATATTAGCCTTAAGACTTCGAAAAAAGAATCGTAGACTTTAAAAAGGGTCCAATCCAGGCCCTAACGGACTCTGCCATAGTTTTTTTAGGATCATTATTTTTTCGACCAACTAAATAAGATATGATAGGATTTGACGAGTACTACAAGGTAATGCTATTTGAATTACAGTACCCTTTCTATGAACAATGTTACAAGGATTCAGAGATATGCCCGCGTAGCTCAGACGGTTAATGGCTTGTAACTTTGTTCATAGACAAGATACAGTTCTCAAAACAGTCTCATTTTGCAGTGCTCGTCAAGTTCTTTCATATCTAATTCAGTTGTTCCCAAAATATTGATTCTAAAAGAAAATATGACAAGGCCGCCAGGACCCGGATTGGGTCCGTTATCAAGTCTGGAGGATTGAAATACCTTGAGATCTAATGAAATCCACCAAGTTGTCCTTGCTATAAGTAGCCCAACTCTCCTTGGGGATTCCAAGAAGTTTGGCGAGCTTGACTGGATAGAGAACACTGAGCCCACTCTCCTGACTTACAAGTCCTTGCATTGTCCGCTTCTTTGGTGCTTTTCGCGACATCTTCTCAATCTGAAACTTATCAATTCAGCTCAAATTTACAATATGTTGAACTCACATCATACGGGAAGAAATCCTTATCAAAATATGGATGGAACTTCTTAGTTCTTGGTCCAGGAAGGAGTTCACCGATTTTCTCCATAGCATCCAACAACTCATCAACTGTTCGAATCTGAATACAATCTCTCAATGCCTTCGAATCCTCCTGGTCACATCCTGCAGCCTTTGCCAGTTGTTTACTATCTTCGACAACGTTTTGATCCAGATTACTCTCGGAGAAAATGCTTCCGGATAATTGGATAGCTTGGCTGAACAGATCTGAAAACCTGCACTTGCTTTCTGTCCAAATTTTGTCAACTCACGATCGGAATGTGGAGAATAAAGAAGTGCAGAAACACTAGCAGCTCCTGCCGAGTGTCCAGCCAGGGTGATTCTATCCGGATCTCCTCCAAAGTCGGGAAGGACTTCGTGCAAGAACTGGAGCGCAAGAGTCTGATCCCATAATCCCATGTTTCCAGAAATCTCAGAATCTCCTGTCGTGAAGAACCCGAGAGGTCCCAAACGGTATTGAACAGAAACGAAGATGATGTCTTGGGATACAAAGTTATCTGCCGCCTTCTCGTATCCAATCATCGAGGAGTCTCCGAATTGGAAACCACCGCCATGGATGAAGACGAGGACTGGAAGTTTCTTTTGGCGCTGAAATTCGGGAATTGTCGTCTTGCGATATCTTAAAAGAATACTTACAGCATCTGGAGGCGTGACGATGTTCAAGAAGAGGCAATCTTCACTGTAGTTAACATGTTCTTCAAGTTCTGAACGGAGTGATGGAATGCACGAAGCACGGAAATGAGTGGCGTCGTGGTTGATGTGTGGCCATTTTTCAACAGGTTCGGGTTTCTGGAAAATGGTAAATTATTTAGAAATCTAAATCTGGAGTTTTTCGGAGTTAGGGTATGCATTCTGACGTGATGGTGTACAGTGTTTGTGCTTGTGGCACCGTAGCTCAACTGGTAGCTTCGCAGCACCTCCACTAGTGAGCCCAAAAGTTCAGCTCCTTTATTTTTTAGCCCTTTAATAATTATATTTCCTAGTTTTCACTCACCTGGAATCTGTAAATGTGATCCGGTGGATTTCCATATCTGATTCCCAAAAACGCGTGGTATTTTGATCCGCTTACTGCCGACTTAACCTCGAACCCAACAATTGGACCATATGGAGTGGTCACTTTTGGTTTTCCAGCACAAAACGCCGGGCTTACTAGGAACAGGCCTAGTAGTAAGTAGAACAAAGACATCAGCTCCGAAAAAAGAAGTAGCCAATGCCAAGCCGATGAGTTGACCTCAAGCAGGTATCTATGCAAATGAACAAAAACGGCGGGACAAGAACGTAGAGCAACAAAACGGGCGAGAGATTGACTGTATAGAAGAGACGCAGAGAAGGAGAGGAGAAGTTGTTTGTGCTAGCAAACAAAACGGCGAAGGTAAAGGCATACATGAAGGAGAAGAAGAGATGGTGAAAGGAAGGGTCAGATGTGTGGTGATAATTGCATTTTTTGTTTGTTTTCTGTTATGGGGTGGACAGGAAAAGGAACATGGGAAGGTCTTGCTGTCAAAGGTTTTCTGCAGAATCATATTCAAGTCGAATTCGTTTCAAATTCCAAAAATTCATTCTTATTATTACAATCAAAAATTTTTATGACTCATCGTTATTATCAGAATTCCTTATCATTTCAACATTTGATAGCCTTGATTTGAGTTTGAAGAGATTGTGGAACCTGTAAACAACAAACGACTCAATTCGATATAATCCAAAATATCAACTCACATTCTTCCACTCAAGCACATTCTCGAAAGACGTTTGTGATCTGTCATCTGGGAGTACTTGACCACAGAGGACGGTGTATAGAGCGTTTGGTCCCTCAACACGTCCGGCAAGAAGGTATTCGTGGCCGGCGGCAATGGTAAGACCACAGGCTGGGGACTCGGATGGAGTATATATTTCGTCGGGCAGAGTGGTCATGTTGGATGGCTTCTGAACAAAATGAAAATGGATTTTTAGCATGGTGTGTTGTGATTTCAACGACTTTTAAAAAATATTCCGTAAAACCTGTAATAGAAGGGCGCCCTGAAAATTTCAATAAAACTGAAATTCATGATAATCAAATTTCAAAACTCCTTGAAATAGTCAAGTTTTACCGTAAAGCCTGTAATAGAAGCAAAACATTTTGGATATTATGATAAGCAGTTTGTCAGTCGACAACTGTTTCATATCTCTCAAAGAAACCGAGATATATCAGCTCAAAGTAAGGGGGCCCTTCTAATACAGGTTTCGCGGTAGTTCTCTCACCTTGAAAACCTCCACATGCTGTACCGTGTATCTCAAATTGTTCAATCCCTTTCTCTCGGATCCTTCTGGAAGTCCTTGCTTTCCAACACGAACCTTCACCTTGACATGAGACACCCAATGAGCATTACAGAACGACTCTTTTGTCGATTGCTCTTTACACTTGCAAGCAGAAGAAACTGCAAGAAGAGCGGATAGAAGGGCCACGGTTAAGAGCAGTTTTGACATCTGGAAAAAATTATAAATTGGCTATCAGAAAAAATGTTTTGAAAAGTGGAATGAAAGTTCTGGAATAAAATTGTTTATATAACTTTTTTGCAAAGTTTACATAATCTGAGGGTAGCAGAATATTTTCAGAACAAAAACACATTCAAATTGCAACTACTTTGATTCCATAGTTTTTTAGAGAGAGAGTGCAGATGGAGAGATTGATTTAAAAAAAATTAAAATCTGAAATCCAATAGCTAGCTGGAAAAGTTTTGGTTGGGTTTGTTGATATATTTTCAACCTAACACCCGTTGACTGATCGTGAGAAGACATGGTTGAGCGAATTGAGAATCGGTCAAGTATTGGGGAAAAAAAATAGTGTGGCGGATCGGATAGACAGTAGACAGGTAGACAGGAAGTGTAACAAAAACATTGGGGGTGACAAAAAAAATATAAAGAAGGTTGGGTCGGAAAGATGAATCACAATGACGTATGGTTTACATTTTTAGAATCAATGGAAGGACAGAAAAGGATCACTTCCGAGATGCCACCATATACGTTCACTTTGAGATCAATTATCTCGATTCCTTCAATAGATATCAAAAAGTGGTCGATTGTTAAATTGTTTATCATAATATCAGCAATATTTTCCCAGTTGACAGGTTCTTGATATCTAACTCAGGGACCAAGCTAATTCAGCTCATTTATAGGGTGGGCTTCTATTAGAGCAAATATGGCAGGACCAGATGAGGGATGCCATCAGAAGCTACTGTAGAAACAAACAAAAAAGGTTTCACAAAGTTTCAAAAAGTACAAACACACAAAAAAACTTCTCTTTCAAACAACCGCGCAAATAATTGAACCGCCCGACCAACTACCAGCAGTTCCCCCTCCAAAAGAAACGGTTTCATATAAAAGCTTATTTTATAATATTTCGACTACCTCTATAAAACTATAAAGTTGAGCTAAAAACGCTCGTTTATCTATACTTGAGAGGTTTTGACCAATAACTTATGAGGGATCGAAGTTCAGGTGAAGAGAAGGTTCAGGAATCATGGTTGGAATGATAGAAGTTGAACTTTTTATGGTTTATATTGTAGCCGTGTGATGACAATTTTGACCTATTTTTGACCTAGGTAAAATTGGCGCACAATTACCCGGGCTGATAAAAATGGGTATATCATCAGACATAAGTATCTTGGAAGCACGAAAATTGGTAGAAATATAATTTTCTGTTTGATTCCAAGCTACTGAAATTTCAAAGCGATTCCTCAAGTCCAGGTATCGTTTTGATTATTTAAAGATCAGTGACGTAATTTTCTTACACGCCGTTGTGATTTTCATGAGAAGAAGCACCTTTGACAAGCTATAACTCAGCTCCAAGTTTTTCAAATAATTAAAAACTTGGCCTGTATACTGATGAATTATTCAAATTTGTACACTCAAAGTTAAATGCTTCACTCAAACTTTAAGCTAGTACAAATTTCAATCCGGTCGAAATTGTGCCAACCTGTGTATCCAAGCTGAATCGATTGAAGAATCTGAAACCAGAAAATTGGACCTTAACTGTAACGTGAGCTACATATACTTTTGTAAGAAAACAGTTTGAATTAGTAAACAAGCTTTGCCACGTATTGCGCCGCCCAAAAACAAACAGGTGAACGATTCCTTCTGCATTTTCTAGGAGAGCAATTTTTGGCTTCTATCCGTTTTTCTTTGAAAACCAGAATTTAAAAGAAGCTCACCAAAACCTATTCTCTATTTCCTTTTTTCACGGCTATCGACCCGAACATCTGTATCTGTAGTCAATAAATCACTCTCTCGAACCACCCATTATTCCCCAATCACTTTTATTACCTCACATTTACCTACGGAAGTACTAAGCGTTTAATTTTTCTATAGTTCACTTCCCTTCCGTTCATATTCATCTTTCTCTTTTTCTCTTTACAAATGTTCTTTGATTCTCTCCGATCTCTCTTCACCACTCGCTTTTCTCTCTATTTCTTCTCCCAAATTTGTTGTTATTTGTGTGTGAGGTTGCGCCCCGTTCTAGAGGGTTTCTCCAACTGTCTAACACTCTCCACTATTTCTATCGGAAAAGGTTTCCCTTTAGTGTCCATTTCTATTAGTGAAACTAAAATGGAAGAAATGTTTTTGTTTTCCAGTCAGTGTGCTAGGTCGTGAATTGCTTTGACAATAATATAACTTCCTATAACCATAAAACCAGAATAAGTGTAGTTTTTGAAAATTTTAAAAGTAATTTCCTTGAAACCTTACTATTCGAGATACTTTTTGCTCTTTGTGATAGTCTCAATGAGCGGTCCAACGGATCAAGTTTCGTCCAAGATATTCTTGTTTACTTCGTTTTACCCTTGAAACTCTAGTGTGTTGTTTCGCTTTTTTTCGATTATAGCGTTGTACCGGGCTAAAAATTGAACAGCACTAAACTCAAATATTTGATTCATAAACTGGCCAAGTTTCAAATTATTTGATCAACTTCGAGCTGAGTTATCGCTTGCTTCATCTCATGAGAATCCCATTACGCCGTTCATCTTTAGACAATCATAACATTATCTAGAGTTGAGGAATCGCTTTGGAAATTTCAGTAGCTTTGAATCAGACGAAAAATTGTATCTCGCTTCCCAATTTTCGTGCTTCCCAATTTTCGTGCTTCTTCTATGTCTAAAGTTATACCCGTTCGTTTCTAGCAGTCCTGGTAATTGTGCGTCACTCTGGAATCTCCTGCCCCCCTTCTTTAGAATTCAAAACTGTTGATTTTTGGCACATGACGACGACGTGGGTGCTCAACTGAATCTAGTGAAGATGAGTTTAATAAAGTTTGACTAGGAATTTTTTCTGCAAAGTTGTTAAAAAAAACTATAGCAAAAACCGGAACAAATTTCGGATTTCCAAGGCTTCCACATCTCTCCGCAGTGGTGGATTTTTCCCTACCCTATTATTATTATTCCCTTCTTCCAAGTCATCATGACCTCTTCCTCTTCCTCTCCTCTTCTTTCTTTTTCACACTTTTTTTTCTTACCAAGAATACAATATACATGCCAGTGTCAGGGGCATTTGTCAGCATTTCCATCCTTTCGCCACCCCCAGCAAATAGAGACTTTACCATCCTAACAAGTGTGCTTTCTTGTGTTGCTTTTTCGAGCATCTCCTCTCACAATTGGTTTCCATGGATCCTCCTAGAAAATCTTTTTCGTCTTCAAAACTATACAATTCCATTCCTGCTCTCTTTTAACTTTCATCGTTCATAGACTCTCTCTCTCACTGATAACGAGAAGGAGACATAGTTTATTTATTTATCATTCTTTCATGATTTTAACTTAAAAATTTTCTCATAAAATACGGGCTTTTGTCACGTCCAGTCATAGAATTTTGGTTTCAGGAGAGAAGATGACGCTCTGTGATTATAAGCCTAATGAGCCAGAATGCGACGGAGATGATTCGCCAATTGTGGAAGAGGTTTTAGGAAAGTTGGAAGATGTTCCACCAGGAACGTAAGTTAGTATGAAAAAAATATTGGGTTGAGATATTCGAAATTAGAATAGGATTATAAAAGTTGTTCGTTTCGAGAATCACGACTTCTAATTGTAAGAAAGGCATACCGTATTTGCTCTAAAAGAAGCCCACTGTCCCCTTTGAGCCGAATATCTCGGTTTCTGTGAAAGATTTTGAAAATTGATCAACTGATAAATTATTTATCATAATTCACCGATATTTTATCAGTTGACAAATTTTTGATACCTCTCATGGGGTCTGAGATAATTTAGGTCAAAGTATAGGCTGGGATCCATTATTGCGTAGATCAAATTTCCTAAACTAAATCGTCTCCAGCAAGAAAACCTTCGAGGTCCGCGGTCGCAAGATCCTTGTCATCAACGATGATGGTAAACTATTCGCAATCAACGGCCTTTGCACCCACTACAACTTTTCTCTGGAAAGCGGAACTTACGCCAAAGGAAGAATCCGTTGTCCACTCCACGGAGCCTGCTTCAACGTTCGTTCTGGAGACATCGAAGATTATCCGGGATTCGATAGTCTTCATTCCTACTCGGTATGATTCTAAGGAAGTTTAGATCGAAATCTTTCAGTTTCAGGTGTCTGTGAACAATGGAGACATTGTGATCAAGACAACCGAAAAGAAGCTAGGATCAGACCGTAAAATCCGCCACCTTCCAAAAATGAAAGAATGCAATGATCGGCCAGTGGTGGTGATTGGAGGTGGAGTCGCCACTGCCACATTCATTGAACACTCTAGATTGAATGGATTGATCACTCCGATTCTTGTGATCTCCGAGGAATCCTTCCCACCATATGACAGAGTTTTGCTCTCGAAGGTATAATATTTTTGAAAGTAATAGTTCAAATTAAGAAAAGTTTTTTTCCAGAACCCATCCGCCACTGGAGAGAACATCCGAATGAGAAAAGACGATGCATTTTATGAGGAGAGAAATGTCAAGTTCCAACTGAAGACGTCAGTGGTTTCTGTGAATCCGAATAAGAGAGAAGTTCATTTGTCCAATGGAGACTTCGTTTTATATTCGAAATTAATCATTGCAACTGGAGGAAATGTTAGAAAGCTTCAGGTCCCAGGATCAGATCTCAGAGTAAGAATCAGATATCTGGATATACAGACACACAGAAAATTTTCAGAATATCTGTTACTTGCGGAAAGTGGAAGAAGCCAACCACATTGCTGATCTTCACCCTGGAAAGCACGTCGTCTGTGTTGGATCTTCATTCATCGGAATGGAAGTGGCATCTTCTTTGGCTGAAAAAGCCGCATCTGTCACCGTAATCTCCAATAGCCCAGAACCTCTTCCAGTTTTCGGATCAGACATCGGGAAGGGTATTCGTCTGAAGTTCGAGGAGAAAGGTGTCCGATTCGAGCTCTCTTCTGGAGTGGTTGCTCTACGTGGCAACGAGCAAGGAGAAGTGTCGAAAGTGATTCTTCAAGACGGAAAGGAATTGGATGTTGATCTTTTGGTTTGTGGAATCGGAGTCACACCAGCCACGGAGTTCTTGGCAGGATCTGGAATCAAATTGGATAGTCGAGGATTCATCGAAGTAGATGAGAAGTTTAGAGTGAGTATAGAAGTTTCTCAGAATGATATGATTCAAATATTTCAGACAAATATCAGCTACGTATTTGCTATGGGTGATGCTGTTACAGCTCCACTGCCACAATGGGACATCGAAAGTATCAATATTCAGCACTTCCAAACTGCTCAGACTCATGGTAAGTTTTAGAACTTTCGAGGACTTTCTAGATTTCTAGAAATCATACATTTTACATTTTCAGGACAATATCTTGGTTACACCATTGTCGGAAAACCGCAACCCGGACCAATTGTTCCATACTTTTGGACCTTGTTCTTCTTTGCGTTCGGTTTGAAATTCTCCGGATGCAGTCAAGGTTACACTAAAGAGTATACTAATGGGGATCCAGAAACTGGCAGTTTTGTGAGATATTTCTTGAAGTGAGTTGTAATTAAAATTATAAATTTAAAGAAAATAATTCAAATTCAGAAAAGATCGAGTGATCGCTGTAGCAGCTGGTGGTCCATCTCAAGCAGCATCCCAGTTTGCTGAGATTTTCAAGAAGGGAATCGAGGTGACATTGAAGGATCTGAAGAATAGCAAGGATCACACTTGGGGACATCTTCTGTTGTAGAAAAATCTCAAAAAAATAACTTTTGTGTTTTTATTTGATTTTGAATAAAGAGTATTTCAATTTTTTACAAAAACTGTGTCCTTCTTTAATAGAAGCTCAGCCAAACCGTCAACTTTGAGTTTAATTATCTGTTTTCTGTGAAAGATATCAAAATTTTGTCAACTGATAAAATATTGATGGTATCATGATAAACAATTTATCAGTTGACAAAATTTTTATGCTTTTCGAAGGAAGCGAGATAAGTGACCTTAAAGTTGACGGTTCCGATAGGCTTCTATCATCACTTGCGTCATCGTGTACGTCCGTTTTGAGCTCACTTATCTCGGTCCATTTGAAAGATATCAAAAAGTGGTCAACTGATAAATTGTTTATCATAATATCACTAATGTTTTATCTGTTAACAAATTTCTGATATCTTTTAGAAAAACCGAGATAATTGAGCTCAAAGTTGACGGTTTGAGTTGGCTTGGCGCATTTACGGGACCCTGTTTGCCTACTTTGAGCTCAATTATCTTGGTTCTTTTGAAAAATATCAAAAAGTAGTCAACTGATAAATTACTTATCTAAATATTACATTTTATCGTTTCACCAATTCTCTTGATACCTATTATAGCAACTAGCATAATTGAGCTCAAAGTGCTGGGACGGGTTTTCATTAAAGCATTGGTAGTCAGGTTTTCTGGTATGAAAAATAACTTAAAAATTATTCAAAAGTTCTGAAAAAGCTGTGAAAGCAGGGTACATTTGCAGTATAATTTTTTTCAGAAACCAGAAAAAAATCAAGAACGAAAAATCCCGAAAAACAAAAACCATGCTCACAGAACTCGCACCTGAAACCCTATCCTATCTGCCTAGAACAATATAGACACTCCCTTCTAGTGTGATCCATGAGACTTCCAAAATCTCACAAATCATGAGTAGTGTCACGTCAATAGATCCCCAGACAACAACCTCTGATCCGTGTAACCCAAACCAGACCCATTTGACTTGCTCTTGACTTGCATTATGCTCTTCTTCTCTCCCGGAGAGCACCTTGCGGCGATAAAACATTTGATTACGATGAGCCGGAGGTACCAGGGATTTCTCATATCACTAACTCTTTCCCAACCCCCCCCCCCTTGCTAATAGAGATGAACTTGTCTTGAGAAGTTGTGTTCTGTCTCTTCTTGATATCATCTTCTTCTTCCTTTCATCCTCTCTTTCTCTCTCACTCGATTCACTTCTCACCTACTTTTCCACTCTCGAAATCCTACCGCCCCACCGTTTGTCACATGTGTCGAAGCCTGAGTCCCCCCTCCTCTCATCTCTTTGTCATCAGGGTCCGTTGAGCATAAAGAGTGTGTGATTTGAAGAGAGTTTAGACAACGTAACATTAGAGCAAACCCAGAGAGATCTCTCTCAACGAGATCCCAGCACCCAGATATCGAGAGATGATTATGTGATAAAATCTGGGAGTCACCACTCTCGCTTTTCTACCTTGACTTTTTGGCCTTTTGTTATTTTTATGTTTATCCTCCTTTTTTTCTTTGAAGTATAAGACGGATCTTGAATTTTTAGATACAGTACTCCTCTCCGATTCTGTTTTCATTCGAAAATTAAAAAAAAAACAAATCACAAATGAAACTAGCCACCTCCTCTTGGTTTTGATTGTCATTCCAAGATTCCTGATCCAAAATGGTGGAACGGCTCGGTTCGGTGAACCCGACAAAACCGGCCAATGTGGCCGAGGCGGCCCAATTAGCGGTTCGGCAGAAGAACTTCAACCGAACTTGTTGCAACATGTGCCACATAAAGCTGGGTGAGTCAGAAAAAAAGATGCTCAAATTTTGAGAAATATATGTGACAGGTGAAGGAGAACAGGTTGTGCTGTTGAGCTTATTTTGAAATTGTGTCAAAGGTCAAAATGTGACCTGAAGGGTAGAATAGAGTAATGGGGAAAGTTTGTGTTTTGAAGTTTGACCATCTATGAAGATCCTGAGCTTTAACCATTGATTCCTTATTTTCATGTTCATCAGATCCTTGAAAAAATTTTGCCCTGCCATAGTTAATTGGAAATGATAGAACTCAACGAGTACTACAAAATGATATTAATTGGATTACTGCATCTTGTCTTTAAACAAAGTTATAAGCCAAAAACAGTCTGAGCTACGCGGTCACAACTTTATGGCTTTGTAACTTTGTTCATAGACAAAATAGATTTTTCAAATAGTATCGTTTTGTAGAACAAGTTCTATCATAGCCAATTTAGATAATTCAAAAGTATTGATTCTGGAAGAAACTATGGCAGGGCCCGCGAAGGCCCGCGTAGCTCAGTTTGCGACGTAGCTCAGTTTGTTTTTGTCTTGTAACTTTGTTCAAAGACAAGATACAGTAATTCAATTAATAACATTTTATAGTACTCGTTGAGTTCTATCATTTTCAATTAATTTCGTTTGAAAATAGCAATTATAAAAGAAACTATGACAAGGCCCGCCAGGACACAGATTTAGTTCATTTTCAAGAATGAGTTTGACCATATCTTGGCACCTTAAATCCCTGAAGATCTTGAGCTTTAACCATTGACTTTTTATTTTAATGTTCATACGATCTTTTTGAAAAAACTGATTTTTTATAACCCAAAAATTTTATTATTTTGTGAACTGCTCATTTTTATTTCTTGGAATCACTTTTAGTACTTTTTTGACTCAATTTTTTGAACGAAAGAGGGCCCAAACTGCTCGTAAAACAATAGTAAAAGTTGTAAAAGACTCTGGTCTTTTCTTTTTTCTTTCCAAGATCAAAAAACAAAATTCAATTTCCGATGAACCTATAAATCTAGGATCCTTCGATCTTCAAATGAAAATCCCATTTGCACTCGGTTCACACTTAAGAACACCACGGCTGTCTCTGTGACCTAACAAATTGATTATTACACAAAATCGCAATGCGTTTATTACAGGTGCCGCATTTCTGGGAGTCGTCGAAGCGATTATAGCGGTTTCGGTGCTTATTGGGGCTGTGCAACAAGTTCTTTGGAAGAATCAACATTCATCGTCATGTGCCAAAAAGTAAAAATTTAAATCTTTAAGGAGGAGGGGGACAAAAGATTTCAGTTTGGCGCACTATTACCCAAACTGATAAAAACGGGTATATCTTGAGACATAAATATCTTGGGAGCACGAAAATTTGTAGAAATATAATTTTACGTTTGATTCAAAGCTACTGAAATTTTCAAATCGATCCCTCAAGTCTAGGAATTGTTATAATGGTCTAAAGATGGACGGCTCGATGTGGTGATTTCCATGAGATGAATCTACTTTGACAAGTGATAACTCAGCGCAAAGGTGATCAAATAATCTGAAACCTGGCAGGTTTACTGATGAATTAATTGAATTTTCGCATACCAAATTTGATCTCAGTACAACGCTTTACTTAAATTTTATACTAGTGCAAACTTGAGACCGGGTATTTATGCGCCACCCTGTATTTGAACAAAACTTCGAGGCAATCATTTCCTCCCCACCTTAAAAATAAACTTTTTCAGCATCTTCCGCGACTGTCTCATCTACCAATTCAACCATTTCAACGTCACCCTGATATTCGACTACGTCGTCATCCTAATGATGATTCTTATTCTATTCTCTGTGCTCTGTCTATTTTTCGGTGTGGCCAGTGACACTTCCTGCCTAATCCTTCCACATATCGTAGTACAAGCCATCTTCCTTCTATTCTCCGTTGGATATTTCATCCTTTATGCGTTCTCCTATTTCTATGGAGATTTGATAGTTCATCATAGGACGTTCATGGTGAGCCAATCAATCTGCCGATTCTCTGAAACAAGCATCCTTTGCAGATCCAATCAATGTTCGAACGTAGTGGCTGGCTGGTCTACTACTAGTGCTCGCCGCATTACAAAGCTATTTGTTTTCCTCGGTGATCCGATGTAGCTTATACTTGGCTGTGAGTCTCGTTTTTCTTTATCGTTGCGACTCCATTTGATCTCCAAACGCTCTTGTTTTTCTTTTGAGCTGATGAACACACATTTCAGATGAGTTAACTGGAGTGAGAGGGGACCAGGGAAAATGGGACATGTGATTCTTGGAAAAATTGAATCTGACATTTTTAGGACATCGAAGACAACCGTCGTCGACGAGAATCAGCATTCGAACGCTGCAGTGAGCGAGTTCGGATAGCCAAAGAAAACGGATTATGGAGAACAACTAGTTGGGGAGGAGGCTTCCAGCAATACAAAGGACAATATGATCGTCCGAAAAAAGAAATCAAGAATAAAGGATATCATGTACAATGGAACACAGATGTAGAAGCTGGATTTGGATTCGGATTCAAAAAAGATGCAGTTGAATTGGCTAGGTGAGTCTTTCGAAGTTTCGTCCAACAAATATTGAATTATTCCAGAATCGAATCTTTGGAGACTCCTCCATTGAGTCCGATCCCTGAAGATGAAATCAAAGAACCCTCACCTTCAAAAGTAGTTCATAAGCTGAACAGAAGTTCTTCGAAATCTGAAGAAAGAAGAGGTTCGAACACCTCAACAGGATCTCATCGAGTGAGTCGTGGAGTCTCTGAAACCCCTGTTAAAAAGGACTCAAAACAACAACCAAGATCAGTAAAAAAGACAGCGTCAGAAGGGACGAGTAGAATGGAGGAGGACTTGAGAAGAATGTCTTCAACAAAAGAACATCATCATAAGGAACATCTTCATCATCCAGAATCCAAGGATTCACCAAGTATGCCGAAGCGGCATGCAAAGTTAAGAGTAACTGAAAGCACGAGGTGAGATTCACGAGAAAAATATTTAACGAGATTCGACAAAATTTTCAGAGAACCTCAAAAAACGCCAACCACTGCACGTCGACCTTCATTGACGAAGAACCGAAGTGTGGATAGCGGGGATCAGTATGATGAAGTTGCCGTGTTTTATAAAGAGAAACATCATCGGAGGAAATCTTCGGACCATGGGCATGGGGCACATTCAAGGAGTAAAATGAGCAGGTCGCCTGAAAGTGAGTATTTGGAGATTTGTTGAAAAACCTGTAATAGAAGGGTTCCCTAACTTGAGCCAATTTATCTTGAAATGAAAGATATGAAAAAGTGGTCAACTGATAAAACTTTCATCGTGATATCAGAAACATTTTATCAGTTGACATATTTCTGATATCTTGCATAGAAGCCGAGATAATTCAGCTTAAACTTGGCAGTAAGGTGTCCTCAAAAACTAAAATAGAAAACTTCGAAAGTTACTTTTTTTTTTCAAAAATATTTTTCAAAAATAATTTGAAAACCAGAATCAAGACACCACTGGAAACACTAAAGAGGTTTTGTTTGATTTTTGAGGTTTTTAAAATATCAGCATGTGCATCCATTACGATATGTTAACTTTATCACACCAGCAAAAAGTAGACCCACTGATTAGCTGAAATGGAGAGAACACTTGCCGTAGTAGCTCTAGTAGAAGCCCACCCTATATGTGCACTTTAAGCTCAATTATCTCGTTTCCTATGAGATATATAAAAAATTGGTCAACTTTCAAAATTTTTATCATATTATCAGCTACATTTTATTAGTTGACAAATTTTTGATATATTTTATAAGAACCGATAATTGAGCTCAAACCGCACGTAGTCCAAAAGGCTTGGTAAGAAAACGCGCCCTAGATAACTTTAGGTTCGCTGGGGCGCAATTTCTGGCTAGGCTTTTTGGAACCCTGTAAATAGTGTGTATTATTATATGCACAAAGTAATGTTTTTCAGAATATAAAATCGCTTTTTGCTTAATATTCAAACATCACAACTGCTTCAACAATAGTTCACCACGATCAAAACTTCAAACTGCAAAAAATGTATCCAATTTCAGAAAAAGAAATCCCTATCGTCAAAAAAGTGTCCATCACGGCATCGTCTGTTCCATTCTGCTGACATACACCTCTTCAACAGTACAATTCTATTATTTTTCCAATTTGATAATTTCAATCGATCTCAATTTCTGTACATTTCTTCGCCCCTCTATCAAGAAGGTTTTTTCTTCGAAAACCATGATTTTTCACAACGAGGTAGATTCAAAAACGTTCAACTTTTTTGTCTCATTTTATGTCTTTCCACTCATATTCATTTCATTTTTCATTGTTATTTTTTGATATTGAAGAATAATTTTTTTTTAAATTTCGCTCAGTTGATAACCAACGACCCAAACTTACACAAAATTTGATACCAAAAATATATTTCCCATCGATTTTAAAACAAAAAGGGACCAGAAAACAAAAACACGAAATGGATCAAAAATAATTATAGGTGTCTTTCTTTTCCTTTAGCTCCTACGCAAATCTCCCTTCATTGCCAGATGCCTATCCCAACAACCACCGAAAAAGTCAATAATTTCCATTTTGTCACCTGGCGACTGTTTGATCCCTTGTATCTTCTCTTCGTCATTCCAGTCACCATTCATTACATCCTTGTGCTTAAAGCCGTTTCCAACTTTCGAGAGTCAAATTCTTTTTTGTACATTTTTGCGATTCTTGGAGTGTTTGATGTGGCTTACTGTTTTGCGATGCTGGGATGTGAACTTCTGCATTATACACAGTTTTTATCTCCGTTCGGTTTTGTGTGCTGTGTGGTCCTCTCGTATTACGGAGTGTTTTTCAATTTGCTGTCCAATGGATTACTATCGGTGAACAGATTATGCGCGACATGTGTTTGGTATAATACGGTAAAATATTGGTGATATTATGATAAAAATTTTATTAGTTGACACATTCTTGATATCTTTCGAAAGCACCAAGATAATTGGGCTCAAAGTTGGGTAGATGTCTATTAGAGAATTTCTTTTTCAGTACTTTTCTCATTCCTGCATCAAAGTCTACTTATACATCATCTCAATAATTACCCTGATATGCACTTTACCAGGAGGTGTTCTAATGTTCATTTATCTCTTCAAGGATTACGGTCTAGCTGTCCAATACGGAAAAACTGGCCTTGAATCTTTCAACACCCATCGAACCATTATAATCACAATGATGATAAGTGATGGGTTAGTTGGATGTGTGACAAGTTTAAGCACTATGTATCGCTTGAGAAAGTACAAAATCAGCTATGATAAGGTGAGAATCAAAGCTTGTTTTCAAAATGATTTGTTTTCGTCTAGAGCCTTCTTCTTGTAACTACTCTTCACATTTTCCCGGATGCTTTCGTCAGTATGTTCAATCTGGATATGATTTTCCAATACACCGGAGATTCTCAATATATGAATGAGCTGGTGAGGATAAAAAAGATTCAGAGCAGTGTGGGATTTTTTTTCGAAAAGTGTGACTCACAAATTCTGGTTTCATGTGAGGAGCATAGTGACCTAACTTTCCCAACATGATTTCCTAGGCGACCGTAGGTGATGGTCCAGAAACGGTCTAACATGCACCTGATGTATTTTCTAGGCCATTTAACATGGTGGCCTAACTTTGGCAAGTTGAGTTTTCTAGACCACCAGTTTTTATGGGCGATAGTCTGATAGCCTGATATTCATTTGGCCTGGTTTTTACGCTATTTTAGCATGGTGGCCTAACTTTCTCAGGATGAGTTTTCTAGGCAACATCGTTTAAATCATACTTGCAACGGGCCGGGCCGGACTTTTTTCAGAATTTTCAGGGCCCGCCCCGCCCCGTCTCGGCTTGGGTTTTCAGAAAAAAATTTTTCGTGAATTCAAAAAGTTTTTTGGGGTCAACAGAAAAAAAATGGACGATTTTTCTGTCAAGTAAAAATTTTTCAAGAAAAGAGTGCCCATAAAAAATTGTTTTTTTTACAAAGAAATTGTGAAAATTTTTTGAAATTTCAAAAAATTTTTCAAGGAGAACCCGGGCCAGGCCGATGAGTCACGGGCCCGGGCCTGGGGCCGGGCCCTGGAAATTTTCGGCCCGGCCAGGCCCGCGGGCGAGGCCCTGATTTTGCAAGTATGGTTTAATAGTGTAGGAAACCTATCAGGAGAATACCAGGAAATTTGTAGGTCATTCAACATGGTGGCCTAGAAAACTCAAATTGCAAAAGTTAGGTTCTAATGCTAAAATGGCCTAGAGCAGTTTAGTGGTTCGAACGTTCAAACATTTTTTTTCGAAATTTGGGATTTTCAAAAAAAACGTAGATAAAAAAGTCAACAAAAGTGATTCATGTTTGTTTTGAACTTTTCCATTCAACTCAAATTTGAAAGAAAACTTTGAATCGCCACCTAATTTTCTATACATTTCATGATTCCGATAACTCTTTTCAGAGTCGAATGTTCCTTGTTTTTTTGGTGTCATTCAACAGCTTGACCATCGTCTGCACCAATCGTCAGATTCGTCAAGAGTACTTCCGATTGCTATTCTTTTGGAAGAGAATTTGTTCGAGCAGGACAGTTCCGCTTTCTAGCATTAAAATTGAAAGTACGGATAAGGTTACTGTATTTTGATAGGTAAAAAAATAGGATGAGACCCTAACAACCAGGATTATAATTATAGGTTTTAGAAGAACAAGATCCGCTTCTTCGTGTTCCCTTTTCTTCTTTTTTTCCCGAATGTTCCGTGCCACTACCAAAGCTCCTGCTCTTCCAGTCAATAATTTTCACTTTGAAACTTGGAGACTTTTCAATCCATTCTACCTGTTATTCTACTGTATTCCTGTCACATTTCATTACTTTCTTGTCCTTATCGTTATCCGAAAAACCAGAAGATCCAGTGGATTTTTCCTTATTTTCTATCTCGCGGGAATATCCGATGTAGTCTATTGTCTCTCAATGCTCTCATCGGAATTTATTCATTACACTCAACTATTGCCAAGATTCATTTTTGTATGTTTCGTGGTAATTTCCTATTATGGAGTGTTTTTCAACCATTTGGCCAATATTTTATTGTCTGCAAATCGATTCTCAGCGACTTGTGTTTGGTATAATAATGTGAGTTTTTAAAATGGTGAATATTGAAGAATCTTTTCTTCAGTTTTTCGATGAATCCTCGATCAAAAAATACTTCGTTGGGATTACGGTAGTCTCGTTTGTTTTCACACTACCTGGTGGAATCGTCATGTTTATTTATTTGTTTATGGATTGGGGAACACAAGCTCAATACTCAAAAACAGGTATTATTTTGGCACGAAAAATAGGAACTTTGGAAGAGAAAGGTCGGTGGCCGTGGCCGAAGGTCCCACAGCGACAACTGCAGTAACCTGAACAAGCGTTTAATTCCCGTATTTATTTTCTTGTTTCACTGCTTTTTCGCGTTTTATTGTCGAATTAAAAAAAGTGACACCTGAGAATTTGAAAACGTTTGCTTTTTTTGATCTACGAAAAAGTGCGGCAAAAACGTAATAATTCAGAATTTCGGCTCGTTCGAGCTACTTTCGCGTTTAAGTTTAGTTTTTTGTTGAAAAATAGATTCTAGAGATGCTGGCGATCATTTTTATACCAAGAAATCAAAATTTTGTTCAGAAAATCTCACTAAATTCACATAAATAAATTTGTTATCTACAGTATCCGTTTTCGCTCCGCCCCGTCGTAAATCGACACGAGCGCCGTCTCCGAGATTTTCAGGTGTCGCTTTTTTTAATCCGACAATATGTTATTTTTTCCAAAAAAGAAATCGAGATAATAAACCGGAAAAAAAATTTGGGTTACTGTAGTTGTCTTTGTGGGACCTTCGGTAACGGCCACCGACGTTTCTCTTCCACAGATCTGATTACCAGAAAAATAGAAAAAATTGAGGGCGTTCTAAATAATTCAAAACATTCCAGGCCTCCTTTCATTCAATCTTCATCGAACTATCATTATATCTTTGACTATAACCGATACTATTCTCGGAATTGGTACAAGCATTGCAACTATTTATCGTCTGAAGGCATACAAGTTTTCTTATGATAGAGTAGGTAAGATTTTTAAAATACCCCTTGCAGCTGGAATTTTCAGAGTCTTCTCCTTATCACCACTCTTCACATTTTCCCGAATATCCTCGTCTCAATGTTCAATTTGGATATGATGTTTCAGTTTTCAGGAGATTCGAAACTTTCAAATGAATTGGTAGACACTTTCGAAATTTATAGCCTTTGTTCGAATTTTTGAATTTTCAGAGCCGAATTTTTCTCATATTCCTGGTCTCTTTCAACAGCCTCACCATAGTGGCAACAAATCGCAAAATTCGAAGAGAGTACCTTCAGATTTTTATATTCTGGGATGTATCAGAATCCGTTGTTGGAACGGTTTCAGTGAGGAAAAGATCCACAACAATGGCAACTCCTGGAATGGGTCGGATTACTGTATTTTAAGCAGTCTTTTTTATTTTGTTCTTATAAATTTATTTTATTATTTTCGAAACATTTTATATCCTATAACAGAGATCCTAATATTCTTATGATTCCGCTTCACTGAAATAGGTGATCCTCGATATGAATCTCCCTCGTTTTTCTCGTTGACCGTGGTTTGCTGTCTGTCAGGAAGTATCGCTTCAGACATTCTCGATTCCTGCCGTTCACCATGAAAAGTCTGAAACATTGAAAGGTTTAACTTTGAGTTGAGGGACACTAAAATGATTTGAAAGTTATGTAGTGTCCTAATATTATCACAAAAAAAATTCCAAAATCCCCAGAAAACGGCCGTCAAAAGTGAAATTTTTGTTTTAAAAAGTTGCGGACAGGGCGGCGGGCCGGCTTTCTTTGAAGTGGTCGACAGTGTTTTTAAAAGGCGTCCAGCCGCCGCTTTTTGATTTTTAACGTTATAATAATATTAGAAAAATACCATAAAAGCTGTATTAGAAGGGTCGGTCGTTCTATTTTTCCAAGGTACCTCCGGAGGGCCCTTCTATTACAGGGACCCTTCAATTAAAGGGGTCCTTCTATTTTTCCGGCCATTTTTCCCAAAAATTTTCATTGTTTATCATAATATCAGAAGTTTTTCGTCAGTTGACACATTTTTGATATCTTGCATGGGAATCGAGATAATTGAGCTTGAACTTGACAGGACGAAAGCCCTTCTATAACAGGTTTTACGGCTGAGACGCAGACAAGCTTTTTGAACATTTTGATGCAGAAAAAGTTTTCGGTTGATGTCCACCTTCAAATTTTATAAATCTTACCTGATATGCTTGAAGAATTCATGGATTTCCGAATTGACAAAAATCCACTGATGAGTTATAAAATTCTTCCGGATGAAGCTTGCGAAAGTCTCACGATCCTCATCAGTCGGACTGTGAATTTCGATATTGATCTGGAAAAAATAGTTGTTATTTTTTCAAATTAAAATACCTAGGTACCTGACAAACATTGATCCCCCACTCCTCCAACTGTCCTTGCTCCTCTATAAATGGGAACACTGGGTACTCTGCGTGCTCAATATCTACCATTAGTTGGTCTATAGTTTGCTGTTTGACCTAGATCATTTAAATAAGATGTTGTAGTCTTTTTTTTTAACTCACATTATTTCTAATAAAAGTAGCCAAGTCTATAGTTAACACCTCTTGGTATCGATAGATCTCCTCCAGAACGTACGACCGGAAACTTCCATTTCGATCCCCAACGGCCATGTTGAAGAATTTTCCGAAATCGGAGAATAGCTCATTGTTATCCTCCTCAACCGGATCCGCGCCAAAAAAGTTACAATCTCGCATCACACTTTTCATCTTCTTCTCTGCTTTGACATCTTTTCCTATTCCAAGAGATATTATTGTGCAGTTTGGAAGTTTTCGAAGAGGAAGAAAATGATACTTCAATTCGTCAGAATTTGGGAATTCTCCGAGTTTGACATCCTTCAGAGACGGAGAACATTTGTTGACTACATACGGAAATCGATCCCAAAACTGCCAAAGATTTCCCACCATCAGGGGTTCTATGGTCTCTTGCACACATTCTGCAGAACGGTGGAGACCGTCCACGTTGTCCTAGAACCAAAATAATCCAGAGAATCTGCCTGAACTATAAATCAACTTACTCTTGTATCAAAGTTTCGTTTCAAAAGAACATTTCCTCCGAAAATCACAAAAAGAATAACAGTATGAACCGAATAATGTAGACCCATCTCCGGGGGAAAAAAAGAGTGAATGAATACTTTTTTTTCTCGACTTTGGCAGATTCTTGTTCCGTTCAGATGAATCGGAACTGGATGGTTTTCATCATACACAACGGATAGAAATCTCGGGAATAAATGAGAAGATTTAGATTGGGATCTTCCGCAAAAGTCCACCGAAACTGGTATGGCATGTCTTCATTTTTTGAAATGGCTTGCATAATAGTTACATAAAATAGTTTATAGAATTGAAACGCTTTTTATGGTACAAAAAATAGGAGCTGTAGGCGAGTAACCGAAGGTTCTACAACAACAACTACAGTAACCTAAAAAGTGGGCACAGCTCCGATTTTTTGCACAAGCAAAACTCCCATGAACATTGGTGACTGTTGGTAAAAAAGAAGGCTGCTGCTGCGGTGGTTTTACATAGATATCATGCTTCATTATTGGTATGGCACAAAATAGTTTCAATAGTGAATTCCTAGGAAAATTGTATGCTTGTTTTGGGAGAGAACAAAAAGGAATGGGTGATTTGCTTCAAAAACAATAGGTTTCTTTGTCAGCCGCAATCTTGAAACATATTTCAACAACGCGACAGTCGCCGCCGCCGCAGTTGTTCCATCTTCGTCGACCTCAAATTCTCAACTTGAAATGACTGAACTTTGTGTCATAAAATTTATAATTTTCAAAGGAAACATGCTTTATTTCGTACTTCAATTATAAGGTTCTGCACACCACACAAGGAAGCTGCTTAATGGCGGATTCCGATGAACAATGGATGTTTGTTCTGGGAGAGGACAAAGAGGAATGGGTGATCTGCTTCGAAGTCAATCGGATTTCCAGCTGGACGAAGAGCCGATTTCCTTGACATCATCACAACCGTCACCGCTGCTGCAGTTGTTCCGGCTTCGTCGACCTGTATTTTAGAACGTCCTATAGTTTTGATCTTAATACATTAATTTATTTTCGCAGAAAAAAAATCACATCATTTTTACAATATTAGACAACTCATCCTCATGAATGAAGATTAGAGAAAAAAATATACAAATCGCTCGCTTGGCTCTTAAAAATCTAATGATGAAGACCGACAAAAAGTGGGTGATTGTTTTGGGAGAGGACGAAGAGGAACGGGTGATCGGCAATGAAATCTTTTGGCTCTTCGATTGGGAGCATTGCGGATTTTAGAGATATCGAAATTGTGGTAGCTGCGGCGGCTTTCGTTCCGTCTTCATCGACCTAGAACAGACAAGTGAGTGAAAACGGACAGGGATTTTTATATAGGAAAATTAGTGTAGAGCTGGGTAAGACATGCGAAACGGGACCCAAGGAACGACAAAAAGCTTTCTTACCTCAATCAACGCCTTGTGCGTCACTTTCGACACAAAGATTCCCCCAGCCAAGTTGCTCAAATCGGCCGATTGATCGAAGGCCTTCTTGATTCCAATGTGTTGAAGCGCTTCGTTGAGTCCCAGCTCGGTTTCAATCTTCCATTTTGGAATTCTGACCTGAAAAAAATTTGATGGGTGTTATAGATTCAGAAAGATAAACTTACATTAACCAGCTCATCGGAAACATTGGACATCAAATGCTGGATAGTGGCAGAGTCCAAAGTCTTCATGGCCTCTCCCAATCCGAATCTCGTTTTTGGAAGGAAAATCGTCAAAGCAAAGGTCTCATCCTTGTATGGGAGACTGAGCACTTGGAATTGGTCGTTCTCAGCGTAGCTTCTGTGAACCGCGGCGGCATTCAAAAAATCGATTTCTCGTTTGGAGTCGGCTGAGCTATGGAACTCTCTTTTGAATGTCGACTCCTTCTTGAACTTGTTCAGCCAGTCAGCCTTGAAGTAAAGGGCATTGGCGAGAACTGCCACGAGATCTGGAAATTTGAAAATTTATGACACTGCGTCGGCAAACACATTACGCGCAAATTCACGAATTCGGTATTGCCTACCTGATGTAATACTATCCGAGCTGATGATCTCTTTGATGTGCTCTCCAGTATTCTCACGAACGAACTTGTTGATTGCCTCCGCAGACGCTTCGTTGTCATCGAAGTTGAGTGAAGTGGCTCCGGCGTTGTACAACTTCTTGACAGCATCCAAATAAGTTTGTTTTATAGGGAATCCAGAGCTGGAAAAAAACCCATAATTATGTATCCTGATCCGTTTTTTCAAAATCTTACTTCGAGAAAACATGGTTGGCAATATTGACTTGAGTTCCTTTCTCTGCACCTAAAAGTGAAGCGGAGATGTTGGCGAAGTGTTGTTGCAATTCCTCATCAGTGGCTCCCTTGACAAGTGCCTCCCGAATCTGATTCCGTGTCTCTCCGTTGGCTGCCACGTGGACCAGGGAGAGAGCGAGAGCAATGGAGAGTGGTGAGAAGACGAGCGATTCATTGAGATTCTGTTGGCGGAGAAGTCCGAGACCAAAGTCGGTCTCTGATTGGAGAAGGAGCGCCATGCTGGAAAGGAGAAAATTTGTTGAAAAGGAAAGTTAGAGAAAATTGGTAAAAGGAGAGTGACCCATTGAGCGTCAGAGCTGTCGCGCAGGTTAAATATTGACCATTGAGAACAACCGAAGTTCGCTGATGAAGGGGTGACTAATCAGGGATGTGATAACTTTTAGTTGGGTAATAGTCTTTGAATGTTTTTATGTAGCTACACTAGGGAAGGAAGTGACGAAGATTAGCCATCTCAAAGACACTCACAAGGGGATCTTTTAAGTAGTTCGCATTTCAGAGAAAGCAGTGAAAATATGAAATTCCAAGTAATTTTAAGTTTCAAGTCTTGAAACCTCCTAGGAGTCGAGAAAATCAAACTTGAAAATTGCCGAATTTACACTGAAAATGTGATTTTTGGTACTGAAACTGAAATCTTAGCACTTTAGAAGTTTTTCAAGCTAATTTTTAAAACGGTTTCATAGGTCTTAAAAGACGCTCTTTTATCCTGTATACTTTATTTTGGCCAATCAGCCGGACAACTTAAAAGGTCAGCTTTTAAATAAGTCTTCCATTTCGGTCGGTCGGCTCGGTCGGTCGGCTAAATTTCCCGACCGAATGAAAGCCTTACTTTGAACAAATGAAAATAAGTTTAGGTTTCTTCCTATGGTACGTCGACTAAAGTAAGGTCAAAAATGAGTTATGAATCGTAGCGTTAGGTTCGAATGTTAACCTACACAGCAGGTTACTCTACGTGTATAAACCGAAGTAACTTTCAAATCCGGATCGATTAAATGGTGGTTTTTCGATCACAGAGCGTGTGTTGGCCGCAGTAGTGTCCTCTAATTCGTCATGCCCCAACAGTTGTTGTTTTATGTTGTTTCGTCATCTCTCTTTTTTCAAAGAGCCAACTCACTTTTGCTTTGGGTCGGACATAATAATAAGACGACTACGGCTGAAGTGCAGAACGACAAAATGAAGTATGTGTTGGTTGGCAACGCCAAAATTGAACCGAAAAAAGGAAGAAATCGTTTATTGTTTGTTCCTCTAGTCGTCTGGCACTCTCCGCTCTTCACAATACTATTTCGTCATCGTCAACAACCCAAAGTGAGCAGAGAGAAGAGAGAAAAGGGAGAAGAGGGCATGTGAAAATATAATGGGGAAGACGTTTTTAATGCTTTTTTTTTCGAAAAAAAGTAGGAGAGAAACTGGGAGGAGTGTTTCAATTCGATCAGTTTCGACGAACTTCAAACTGTGTTCTGCTGAACAGGAAAAAAAACAATACTTTACACTGTAGTTCGAAAGGCTAAAAAGATGTTAAAGAAACCGATTGATATTTCGAGTTCACAAGTTCACAAAACCGTCTGAGATTGGGAAAAATGAGAAAAAGAAACATCAACACACATCTGAAATTCCAACAAAAAAAAAGATAGAAAAACAAAACATTTCACAGACAGTGTGGAGAATTGTTCGTTGTGAGGCGATGAAAACAAAATTGAAAAATGCGCTTTTGAATAGGAATAGAAATACTGTAGGAATACTGTAGTTGTTTCATGTTCACCAAAACCCGTTTTAAAAAATCTTTCGGGTCCCACGTTGTCGGATTCGAACAGCAGTCACCTATTGACCACAATAACCTATTGACTTTGCTTTCTATTTCTCCTTTTCCTGCGAGAACACTGATTGATTTCGGCCTGAAAGATTTGTGCGGGGAGAATAAGAGAGAATTTTAGCCCATTGAGAGTCACCTTGAAAATTTACAATTTTTTTACAAAGAGCACATCTGGTTAAAGAAACGACCAATTGTGAAGAATTTGCAAATTCTCGGTAAATTTCGAACTGCTATACAACTTCTGTATTGATCAGAATTTTGGAAATTTTTGAGAAAAAAACAGGGGCTTCAGCAAAATTTGTGTACCACCGTTGTGAGCCACAACAATAATGATGCAATTCGCGTTCTCAACAGAGATGTCAGGAATTCCGACTTCCGAGTTGGAAATTTTACTTCCGACTTCCTACTTCCGATTTCCGAGAAACAAATTTTACTTCCTACTTCCGACTTCCGCCTTCCGAAAAACGCACTTTACTTCCTACATCCTCGAATTCTCGAATGTCATCAACGACTTTTTGCAGAAAAGTTGCAAAATTTGTCCGTTTTCGAACAGAAAAATAAAAAAATTGCCGAAGTCAATAACATAAACTAATAACATAAACTATTGCCCGGAATAACCGTAGGAAACCAAAATAGCTCAATTTTTAAAAGTTTAATTCCGACTTCCAAGTATGAAATTTTACTTCCGACTTCCTAATTAGAAAATTTGCTTCCGACTTCCGACTTCCTGAAAAAATATTACTTCCGACTTTCGAGTTCCAAAATTTCACTCCTGACAACTCTGGTGCTCACGCCTGGAGACGTTTGGAAGCTTAGGACGCGGTAAAACTTCAGCCCGAAATGACAGAAAAAAAAGCTGAAATATATTAGGTTGGCAGGAAAGTAACTGTCCCTTGTTTTATTTGTGAAAAATACAAAAGCAGGATTAATCCAAGATTAGCAGTATGCCCCGTCGTGGTCCACGACATGTTGGCAATGTTCAGATAACTTGTGGATACAATACCTTCAAGCTAGCCGCGAATCAAAGTATTCATTTTTTTCCTGTTTTTCACATAAATGGTGCAAATTTCCGTATTCTCTAGATGAGGTTGTAGCTCTCCGAATATCCAATAATCTGATAGAGCTCAGTCGGGACTATAAGTAGGTGAGGGAGAACGGTCACGCTGAAGCTGCTCAGGTCTGACTTGACTGCAGGAAAAAAATGAAAAAACCTCATGTTCACAGAAAGTCACACCGTACCTGAGCCGCTTTGGCTGGACGGTTCTCCTTTACCCCCGTCAAAGACTTGATTCAGCTCTATCAGATCATTGGTTATTCAAAAGTATACGACGTCATCTGGAGCTTAAGGACTTTAACACAATTGATGCCTGAAAGAATGGGCTGGAGGGATACTTTGACTTGCCACTAGCTGGCTTTTAGAGGGATGGTACCCACGAGTTACCTGAACATTGCCAACATGTTGTGGATCACGACGGTGCATATTGCTAATTCTGGATCATTCTTGTGTTTGTGTTATTTACTAATAAAAAATGGACAGTTACTTTCCTGCCAACCTAATAGCACATAGGCAACATATCTGCAAACGGATACTGTTTGAAATCCAATATTGTTTTAGGGTGTGAAAACTACCGTTACATAAAAATGTTTATTTTCGAGTTTTTTTTCTCGATTTCCGTACGTTTTCAGTCAATGTTTTCACTATAAAACATTCAAATTTCCGACTAGTAGGGAAAAAAATTAATAAAAATCGACGAAAATCGGTAAGAATCGAAAAAATAAATCTTGAAAAAAAGTTTTTAGATTACTGTAGTTGTTGTTTACCTTCGGACACGGCCACCGGCGTTCCTCTTTCATAGCTAGCTATAGCTCCAATTTTCGTACCAGAATAATCATGAAAACGTTTTCTCTTGTAAGTCCACACTTCGCCTTTTATCCCTATTTCATTACTTATCCCCGAATCTCAATAACCCAACGGCTTCTTCTCTCACAGACCTTATTTGAAATATTACTTCCTGTCCGACTTTACTGACCTCTGCTCAATTTTTCTAGCAACCCCATGCATTCCTGAACAAAAACATCACGGAGACAGAAAACAAATATTTCAGCTAAAAGGCCCGTTCCTCTTCTGGAACAAAATACTCTCCCCCATGACATCTGAAATTGGATTCCCTGCATTCCCGATGTTCAAAACTTTTTCTATAGGATCCGCATCATAAATCTTTTCATCTTCCGCTCACACTGCTATTAAATGCAGGAAAAGTAAAAAAGAAGAAGTGGGACCCATTTTTTTTCAAAACCACATGTCTCTAGTTTTTTGCAAAGTAGAGAGATAGGTTCGTAAATTTCCAGAGGCGCTAAAGATTATTTCATGCAGATGAGATGAAAAATTATTATACACTTTAGTAGTAATAGCACGACGGCCCCGTGACGTCTTCAGAATGAATTGTTTTGGTCGACGAGCTTGAAAGAGGTCCCGTGTTTCATAAATAGTTCCAAGGGGTTTTCTCTCCCCACTTGATTTTGCTTATTTGGCTTTTTCTAAGATTCTTGACTATTATACAAAACTCTATTACTAGAAAAATTCATGTTTGAGCATGAAAACATTTTTCTTCGTTTTTTTTTTCAAAAAAGAAAATCTGATAGTGTCGCCTCAAGTTGACTCTTTTTCTCGTGGTCCTTAGTCCCCCTCAAAACCAAACACCAACAAGAAAAAACGAACGCGACACAACACACTAGAAATTCGTTTGAGTGGTCTTACTAGAAAAAAAACATGACGGGGACAACATGGTTCTCTGGTTTATATAGAGTCAGATGTCGTTCAGATTGGAATTATAGGTCCAAGCTGATGGGACCATTATATTCTCTGGTTTTCAAACTTCATTCCAAAGTCTAGACTCTTCCAAAATGATCTCCGAAATTTTAAAATGTTCCCACATTCCATCTTTTGCTTCTCCAAATTCAAATGTTTTTAGTATGACCTAAAAACAAAAAAGTGCGAAATTTTGACATTCCATGTTGTTTTTAATCTCGGGTATGAGAATTCCACTTCTCTTCTTTTTCTGGAACTTTTTGAAACATACATACATAACATAGACTTCCAGAACTTTCAAAATACAGAATTCCCGAACTTTAAAACTGGAAATCTTGAAAACCAGGAAAAGTTAGAATCCAGAGAGAACATGACATTTCAGAGCCTAAAAAATCAAAGCTGAAAATAGTAGGTCACTGAAAAATGTCATGATCCAACATCAGAAAAGTGATTTTTTGGTAAAGTCTCTTTTGTGATTCTATTTATGGCTCAAGCTAATGTTTTCCAAATATGTTCCATTATATGAGTGTTCCATTATATGTTCCATTATATGTTCACACACACACACACACACACACACACACACACACACACACACACACACACACACACACACACACACACACACACACACACACACACACACACACACACACACACACACACACACACACATATATATATATACACACACAGATTTCGGTTCCATCTCAGAATGTCATCTCAGAATTTCAGAATCTTAGAATCTCAGAATCTTAGAATCTCAGAATCTCAGAATCTCAGAATCTCAGAATCTCAGAATCTCAGAATCTCAGAATCTCAGAATCTCAGAATCTCAGAATCTCAGAATCTCAGAATCTCAGAATCTCAGAATCTCAGAATCTCAAAATCTCAGAATCTCAGAATTTCAGAATCTCAGAATCTAAGAATCTCAAAATCTCAAAATCTAAGAATCTCGAAATTTCTGATCAATCAGTTTCTTAAATGCTTTAAGTTAGTGAATTTTGACCTAGAATTTCATATAAGACCCATTTGAAACTTCGAACCCTTCATCCAACAAATTGCGTGGCCATAAATTTCTCTCATCCGTTTCTTTTGGTTTCATAATTCATTTGCTCTGAAAAAAACCTCCTGAAATTCACATATCTTCAAACCTCTAACCTCTGGTCACTTGTGTTTTGGAACATATGTTCTTTGTTTATGAAAAAAGACAAAAGAAAAGTTTTCAAACACATTTCTCTTACTAATAACTCTATTTACAACTCTATTTACCCTTTTCCTCCTATCTCTGCAATTTCTTTTTTTCTCTCGACTAGTACATCCGGTCAATGAAGACTCCTCATTACCATAAGTTTCCTATTTTTCCTCCTACACATCTTCTTCAATTTCCAAATTTTTTGTGTTCTTTGAATGCCCATTAATACAATTTTCTGGGTACCTCCATTTATCCTATTTAATCCATTGCTCATTCTTCTATTATAAAATTAAAGAAAAACGAAAAAAACAAAAACATTTCCTTGTTTATTACTTTCTAGTGCCTGGAATAGGTTAATGCTCTTTTCGTTGGCATTCCGGATGAACGAAATTGGAACAATAGACGATTTGATCGAGGAAGTTGTCTGGAAAACAACTTGGGCATTTTTCGAGAATCATCAGAATCATCTGTCTGGGTTTTTTTAAAGTGTTCGGTTCCAATAATCCTAAAATTAGATTTAGTATCTTGTATTTAAGAATCGGGAGAGAACATAACAATGTTTGGAATCTTCAGACATTAATTCTAGAGTTTGTCTTTATAATTTTGACTGAAAGCCAAGAGTAATCTTAGCTTAATTTATTTACAACTTTTTAGTAATTCTTTCTTTTTCAGACAGTTTACCTCGTATTTCCAACAAAATGTATACCGTACACACTCTAAACAGGGTTCCACCCAATCTGTCAACTTTAAGTCAATTTATCTCAGTTTCTCGTAAAAGATATCAAAAAGTGATCAACTGATAAATTGTTTCTCATAATATCAGTAATATTTTATCAGTTGACCACTTTTTAATATTTTTTACAGAAATCGAGATACATAGGCTTCAAGGTGACAAGTTGGGTTGCACCCTGTTTAGAGTGTTTATGGTAATTAGCAATGAAGCGCATTTGTCAAATTAAAAAAATTTAAAACTTTTTCACATCCCTTTCTTTTTTGAACCTTTGAACTCATTGGAAATTCCAAAACTCTCATAATCCTCTCTTGTGACCACAAAAACACTTGAAATTCCCCTCTGACCACTATATTTTTTGAGTCTGATCCGAAAACAAATGACCACTACTACTATATCCACGAGTGTCGAATTACCGACCGCTACTTTTCCAAAATTAGAAATGGTCCCACTTTTCGGCCGGACCACAAACTCAAACAAAAAATATTATTCATTTTTCTGGATCGGTTACTGTCAAAGATATCAAAAAGCTGTCAACTGGCAAAATATTTTTGACAGTATAATTAACATTCTGCCAGTTAACCACTTCTTTATTCTTTACACAGAAACCGAGATATATAGGCTCAAAGTTGATAGCTTGGGCAGCACTCTACCTACCGTATTCTCTTATTCCCGGACAACAACGAACGCTGGGAATATTTGACAAAATTCAGACTAAATTATTCTTTGGATTCTGGAAGGTACCGTTTTCTGAAGAAAAAAGACAATACGTGTTTACTTCTTTTCGAGAAGTCACACCTCATCAATATTCTGCTCATGGCTCTTCTTATTGTTTGAAGAAAAAATCCAAGAAAGAAAAGAAAAAGAAAACAGAGTCACTCCAGATTTTTCCCATCTTGTGGTTAAATTTATTAGTTTTGGCTTTTTCGGTTACGGTAGGTCATCTGATTCCATCATAGAATCTGAGATTCTGAGAGTCTGAGATTCTGAGATTCTAAGATTCTGAGATTCTGAGATTCTGAGATTCTGAGATTCTGAAATTCTAAGATTCTGAGATTCTAAGATTCTGAGATTCTGAGATTCTGAGATTTTGAGGTTCTGAGATTCTGAGATTCTGAGATTCTGAAAATGATATCCAATTTAGACGGTTCGTATTGTTTTGTTTTCCACCAGACCCGGAAATACAATAAATTCCAAAAACTATACTAAAAACTACTATTCTCATATCTTGAGAAAACTACTATTCTCATATCTAGAGATTCTGGGATTCTGAGATTCTGAGATTCTGAGATTCTGAGGTTCTGAGATTCTGAGGTTCTGAGATTCTGAGATTCTGAGATTCTGAGATTCTGAGATTTTAAGATTCTGAAATTCTAAGATTCTGAGATTCTAAGATTCTGAGATTCTGAGATTCTGAGATTTTGAGGTTCTGAGATTCTGAGATTCTGAGATTCTGAAAATGATATCCAATTTAGACGGTTCGTATTTTTTTGTTTTCCACCAGACCCGGAAATACAATATATTCCAAAAACTATACTAAAAACTACTATTCTCATATCTTTCCATATTTGTTCTTATGCTGAAAGTCTTCCTCTTATTATGTGTTCTCTTCCACTCCTCCGATTTTTATATTCTGCACATCTCAATCTCATAACCTTCTTTCTAGAAGATGCATTGAACCATGATGCGGTATATACTTCTAGGTTTTTAAAACAGATTTTATTCTTATCCAGAAGCTCTTAAGGATCAAAAACCAGGTTATGAAACTGAATCAACTGATTTGTTTTGATTGTTTTGTGACAGAGAACAATGGAAAAAAGAGACTCTTCGTGGGAAAGAAAAGAACATGTGATATTATATATTATAAAACACATCTGTTCTGAATTTTCTCTCGCGCTGATCCATGAGAAAAATTACCAATCTTGTGGTTTTAGATATTCAAGGTTCCAAGCAATCTCCACCCACATTTATCTTTATTTTTCTTTCACTTTCTCACATTGGTTTATTCAGGAAGAATCTAAAAAATAAGTGAGTCAGAATAGAGTTCCGTAGGATTTTGTGGTACGATTTTTTTGTATTAAACTTCATTTTGAATTTTTCATTGTATTGGGAATCCCATCAAATGGAGAAATAGCAACATTTCTGCAAATTTTGGATTCCTTAGTGCTTCCCATTATTGAAAAAAAATTTAATTAATCCGAATTTCAGTGTTTCAGAATTTAAGATTCTCAGATTCCGGAACCTTGAAAATCTCAGAATCTCAGAATCTCAGAATCTCACAATTTCAGAATCTCAGAATCTCAGAATCTGAAATGGGAACATTAAAAACTTTCAGACGCTGAAAAAGTCAAAGGAACCTTTTCAAAGTTATTGCTTAATTCATTCTGAACTGAAAGCTTTTCTCTCTCTCTCTCAATCTTGAATTGCCCTAATCAACAGATAATTTTCCATTTGAAAGGCATGTTGACTAGTCCATCAATTACCATTTCTTTCTTCTTTTCAGAATTCCAAGGATTTGCTGTTTTCAGAATCTAAACTAGGAGATTCTCAAAATTCCATCGAAATTTGATAATTCGTGTACTTCTTCTTCAGATTTTGTTACGTAGATGCTTCTTGTTTTCATTACTCCATGTATCACATTACGTCTACAACATCACTCTCACGCACATCTGGTAGTAGAAATGCTGAATGGAAGGGGAGAAGGAGAAACGAAAAAATAAACAGAAAATATCTAGAAAAATATTCAATTCTATATTTAGATCTTTCTAGATATTTTTAGAAAAAACAAAAAGAGTTTCCTTTTGTCTTCTGCTCTCCGTTCAATGGCTTTTAGCGTGGTAGGAAAAAACATATGTGGTTAATGACGTATGCGACACATTTTTTGGGAGGAGTCAGGACAAAAGGAAGAGCAGGTGGTCCTGATAATTGAGTTTTTATTAATGTTTGTGTGTCGTAATTTTTCGCTCGATGACATTTGGTACAGAATTTCAGTCGAATTAAATATATTTCTTATTTAGGTATAGACCCAAGATCTGGTGAACTTCCGAGGCAGAATTGAACCTTATTCAATTCAGCTTCCGAGTATTAAATATCGAACGAACTTTCTATAGCAAACTTTTTATTCTATAGCAAACAAGCTTAAATGGTATTGCATTTAGAAATGAATGCTACTCAAAATTTCAGATTTTGAGATTCAATTTTCTGTGTATTTTGTGATTCTGAAATTTTGAGAAAACAACCGTAAACACTCTCGTGCACTTTGAGCTCAGTTATCTCAATTTCCATAAGAGATATCAAAAAGTGGTCAATTGATAAAATGTTTATCATAATATTACAAATGTTTTATCAATTGACAGATTTTTGATATCTCTTATCGGAACCGAGATGATCAAGCTCAAAGTGTACGAAGGAGCTCGAAAAGGGAGAGCTTCTACTAGAGTGTTTACGGTGAATTATGACATAGATAAGGCTAATTTTTCTCGATTGATTGAGTTGGAACTTTTTAACTTTTCTATTTTTGGAAAATAGGGATTATTACATCCAAAGCTTGCAAATACTCTTTGGGTTTATAATGCTCTTTTTGAATTTGAAACCTACCGTAAACACTCTGATAGAATGACCCCCCTGACTTTCAATTTTGAACCTACTTATCTTGGTTCCTGTGAAAAATATCGAAAAGTGGTAACAAAATGTTTTTCATAATTTCAACAACATTTTATCAGTGGACCACTTTTTGATATCTTTTACAGGAACTGCGATATATGAGCTCAAAGTTGACTGTTTTGGAGAGGGCGTGCTAAGAGTGCTTTCAAATACTCTCAGCGTTTATAATTATCATTTTGGTTCTAAAATCTAAAACAAAATTTTCGAAATTTTTGTAAACTTGATATTTATCTATCCAGAAACACAAATTCCTACGAATTGTTTTGACTTGCTTTTTGAACCAGATAATTTTGAAATTTTCATTAATCACGTAACACTGTTGTCCCCTGCACACCCCAATAATTTAATATTCTCGCACTTTCCAGAAGTCAACAGAAATTTCCCGAGTAATCAGATTAAGTCTTCAGCAGCTTTTTTCCCCATCTCGTGACGTCTTCTCCGCCGTTCTCTCTCAAGAAGTGCATTCATATTTTGTCCCTCACCATCTGCCACCTGCTTATTTACATTTGGACCACCCCAGTATTATCCTTTTTTCGCCCCTCCATTCCATTTCCTTTTCGAACAAAAAAAAGCAAATTTACATACGACTTCTTTTCTCAAGAAGACAAAGTCACTTGTGCTTTTCGATGCTTATCCGTGACTAACGAATGAAATCGTGTATGTGAAATTCAGTGTGTGTGACTACTGGCTAAACTAAACGTTTCCTTTAATCCAATCCCTTCTATGTTGACTCTTCTTTTCCCTATCTCTCTCCCTTAAATTTTGCTTCTGGTCTTCTTCTTTTGGCAACTCTGTTCCCATTTTTTCTAATTTCCTGCCAGACCAGGCCATCTTCCTACTTTTGCATTTTTTAATTTTCGAATTTCCTGTTTTCATATGAGTTCGTTTTTCCTTGGATCCTTTTCTTGGGGAGTGTCAGTTTAGTACTTCCTATGGGTTACGAACTTCCGCGTCAAAGATGAAAAACAATCTTGGGAATTGGGTCAAAATGACTCCTTTTATCAATGGGGCGAATTTTCCTACTGGGTTAGAAACAGACAAGGGTTCGGCTATAGGTGTCCTCAGGAAGCTTTTCCTTCGTTTTTTGGTTATTTTGAAGTTGTGACATAACTTTCTCAAGCTGAGTTTTCTAGGCCACCATGGCGAGATGGCCTAGAATTGGTGGGATATCCACATGGTGTATTTTCCAGGTTGTTTTGAAGTGGTGGTCTAACTTTTGCAAGTTGAGCTTTCTAGGCCACCGTGGTGAGTTACCCAGAAGTGACCTAGCATGCCCATGGTGTGTTCTTTAGGTCATTTGAAGTGGTGGTCTAGTAAATTAATTTTACAAAAATTAGGCCACTACTTCAAAATGACATAGAAAACATACCAGGAACATTTTAGATCATTTCTGGGCCATTACCATGGTGGCCTAGAATATTCAACTTGAAAAAGTTAAATCACCAAGATAAAATTACCTAGAATCTGTCTGATATTGGGTGTGTTCTCTAGGTCATTTTGAAGAGATGGCCTAGAAAATTGATTCTGCAAAAGTTAGGCCACTTTTTCAAAATTACCTAGAAAACACACCAGAGGCATATTTACCGATTTCTAAGCCCAAAAAGGTGGTGGACTAGAAAACCAAATTTGCAAAAAATAGGCCACCAGTGCCCACCACTATAAAATGAACTAGAAAACACACCAAGGGCATGTTAGGCCATTTCCATTTTTGAATGTGAAACTTCTCGACAAATTTCGCTGGTTATTCGGTCCCTCAAAAGTATGTCGGAGAAAATATTTTTCCATTTTTTAACTATTGAGCTGACTCATTTATCAACGTCTTCCCGGTTTTGATCCGTTCCAGTTCCTTTCAAATCCTTTTTCTATTAATGCTTTGGAATGAATGCGTTTGCTTCCGATTAGGTTCTGTCTAAACATTGACGTTAGTGACGGCTAATTCAAACCTCCCATCCCAAAAATCTGAAAAACAGAATAAAAAAGCAAGTTGAAGTGTTTATTGGGTTGCACAGGGGGACAAGTATGCATCATTCAGGAGCTAGCGGGATCCGCTGGTCTTGCGAAATTGAAAAAAAGAGCATCCCAGATTCCAGAACCTATTCCAATATGAATGACGCATATTCCAGGAACTTTATGTACGTAAGAAAACGTAAATAATAATGCAAGAAGGGGATTGAAATAGATGCAAGAGTATATATTTAAAAGCCCTTTGGAATAATTTTTTAAAAGCCCTTAGGAATAATTGTTGCAGAAGTTTTTTTGTGCTGCAATGAGTCACTCTGACGTAGTTGTTGGGAAATTATTTTATTGTTTTTTAAAATGCAGAAAGGGTAATTATGAAAGAAATAGAGTTCTCGGAAGAAAAATTGCGCAGCAGGTCTAGAAAATTAGATCAGGAGAAATGAGGAGCAGAGAAAAGAGCGAGGAGTATAAAAGGTTAACTTTATGAACTTTTTAAAAAGTAGTTGTTGCTTTTCAGAATTTCAGAATCTTGGATTCTGAGATTGTGCGATTATGAAAGTCTGAGATTCTAAAATTCTGAGATTCCGAGATTCTGAGATTCTGAGATTCTAAAATTCTGAGATTCCGAGATTCTGAGATTCTGAGATTCTGAGATTCTGAGTTTCTCAGGTTCTGAGATTCTGAGATCCTGAGATTCTGAGATTTTGAGATTCTGAGATTCTGAGATTCTGAGATTCTGAGATTCTGAGATTCTGAGATTCCGAAATTCCGAAATTCTAGAATTCTACGATTCTGAGGTTCTGAGATTCTGAGATTTTGAGATTCTGATATTCTGAGATTTTAAGGTTTTGAATAGGATTCCGAGATTCTAAGGTTCCGGATAAGGTTCCGAGATTCTGAAATTCTGAATTTCTAAAATTCTGAAATTCTATAGAATTCTTTGAATTGCTTTCTTTACTTCTAGAAAACCTAGAAAATCCCCCTTTTTCTATTTTAAGCCTTCTAGACCTTTCGAAACCTCTTCCAATTAATTTCTGCTATTCATTCTTTTGCTTCTTGGTTTCTCTGAGTTTTCTCGTTTCCATTCTGCTTCATCAACAACTAATTGACCTCCTCCTAAGCTCCATATGACACATAAACAGATTAGCTGCTCTCCACCATTGAACGTCTTCAACATATTCTTCTGGAGACCTTCAGTTTTCCAAAATCTATCTTAGTGCACACAAATATGTATACATTTTCTATCCCTCTGGCTCATCCCTTCTTTAATTGCAACTCATATCGCCCCTTCCATATATCCCACCCTCATCCGTTTTTCTGCTTCTCCTTCTTCTCCTTCCTTCCCAATACGAATACTTGTACTCATTCTGCTTATTCATCCACTTTTTTGTAATTCCTAATACGTTTTTTTCTTCTTCTTCCTTCATTCTACCGCCACTTCATACAATATTTTTTCAGGGGGGAGGTACCACCTCTTCAGCTGAAAAAAAAATGGACTCACGTCGTGTCTCTCTGCCGGCATCACTCGCCGTCTCTCACCCATACTTTGCCACTTATCACCATCATCAGCCACGCACATCGTCTGTCTCATCAAGTAATTCCAATTCGGTCAACGCGAACAGCACCATGCTTTTGTCGCCCAACTTCTCGCCAAGCCCATGTCCAAGAAGGTTAGTCGTGCACTTTTTCAGTATTACGAGAAAGTAGAGGTTTTTAGTTAGCTTTGTAAAACTCGGTAAGTCGGAAATCCTGTTTTTGTAAAAGTTTCAAATAATCCGGTTTCTCACAATAGTCCAGAAAACCCAACAACGTAATAAGAAGCAGCTGATAGCTGGCATTCTAAAAAATATAGAAAAATATAATAATTATTGTTTTTGTCTAGACCAGTCGTTCAAAAATAACATGAGCAAAAATACAAAAAGGGTATGACAATGATCTGTTGTAGCAAACTTGCATTTATTGAGAAAGTCGAAATTCCTGGAATAAAGAGAAGCCGTATAATTTTTTCAGAATTAGTTTTTAAATTAGAAAAAGGCAAACCAGAATTTACAGATTGAACACTTTTGGTTTCCAATTACCGTGTTTCCTCAGAAGCCCACCTTCAACCATCAATTTTGAGCTCAATTATCTCGATTCCTGTAAAAGATATCAAAATTTTATCAACTGAAAAGATACTGGTGATATTATGATAAACAGTTTATCACTTGAAAAAATTTTGATATCTTTCACAGAAATCGAGATAACTGATTCAAAGTTGACGGTTTGGGAGGGCTACTATTAGAGGAAAAACGGTAACCTAACGGGAATGAGCCAATCTGGTTTTTTTTTTTGAAAACTTGAAGCTTCTGTTCTCTAGGTTTTGACTTGTAAATGGTTCTAAGATATTGCAAATTTTACAACCAAACATATAAACTAACATTGAAGTTAAATCAGACAACGCTTCACTGAAATTTTCTAGTTTTTTGTTGCAAAAAAGGGACATATCATTCTATCCTTTTGCTCTATAGCTACCAAGAGCTAGCTACCAAATTTGTTCTTCAAAATTCTTAAAAACAACAAGAGATAACGTCACAAGCGAGACTTCAAAATGTCATCATCACTTCCTCTCTCTTCCCTTTTCAATTGATTCCCCCATAGACAACACCTGACTCACAAAGTCATAATATCCCTCTATTCTAGACTTATCAATTTTCAGCTATGTTTTTTTAGAGTTCAAAAAACTCAATTAGTCTAGGGAAACGATAAAAATAGGCTCACAAAAAATTAGGTCAGCGCTTTTTGAGTGGTTGTTTTTTGAGCCAAATGAGCGGCAGCATCCAAGCGAACTGCAAATTTTTGAGTGGTGTTCTGCGGTGGTCATCAGAACGAAGTGCATTGAATATGTGCATGTTTTTTGGGAAGAGAGCAAGAAGGAATGATAAACAAACAGGGGGCGAATTTTTGTATTCAAATCAAAAACCAAAAATTGTAGAATTTTTTGAAAAAAAATATGACGAGTTGGTATTTTTTGAAGTTCGTTTAGAACATTTAAAAACAAATGGACCGAGAAATTAAAAATTGAAAGTGGCAGGGGTTGCGAACACATTGAGAGAATACCAGTTACAGTAAAACATGAAATAGAAGGGCCCCTAACTTTTATCATTGAGCACAATTATCTCGGTTCCCGTTGAAGATATCAAAAAGTTGTCAACTGATAATTTGTGAATCAAAATATTAGAAACACTTTATCAGTTGACACAATTTTCATTTCTCTCATATAAGTCGATGTAATAGAGCTCAAAGAGGGCTTCTATCAGAGAAAATACGATATTCCATTTCTGTGCATTTTGAGCTCAATTAACTTGGTTCCCTTAAAAATAATAAAAAGTTTGTCAACTAATAAATTGTTTATCATAATATCGTCAACATTTTATCAGTAGACAAAATTTTGATATCTTCTACAAGAATTGAGATAATTGATTCAAAGTGTACGTATACGGTGGGTTTCTATGAATTAGAAAAAATAAAGTAATCCATTACTGTGGGAAAAACTGTAAAAAATTTAAATCAATTAAAATTTGAAAATCGAACCCCAACATTTTTCCAGATCCCTTCCATCCACCCCACTTCCAAACGGATCCCGTCGAAGTCTTCCACCAACCCCACCAACTCCAGCATTCTCCTCCACCAGCGAGCACGAGGAGCTCTTTGTGGTAAGTGTCTCTCTGCAAATGTCTCGCTGTTATAGAAGTGCAAGAATGCAATTGACATCTTCTATTTTTTTTTTCTTACAGAACGATGTGCAGAATGATGAGCCGGAATTTCCGCCACGCAGCACTCGCCTACGCAGTTTCGATCTTCGCGACGGACACATTTTTGACAAAGGATTCCAGAAGAAACCCAGCGACAAGGATCTTTTGAGTGTCAACGGAACTGGATTCAGAAGAGGAGGTACGTGGAATTAGTCTGATGTCATTTAGAGGGTGGATTACTGCTGGGGTGCCGGTTCCGGACTTGTTTCCGGTTTAGAATAGTTTTTAAAAATTGAAGTATTAGAATAGAGGATGGACGAGTACTCAAAAATTGAAAAATATAATAGTCTTGAAACTCGAAATGAATCAGAGCATCATCAAAACACCCAAACTCTCATAATCATAAATTCTGAACCGAACATGTTCTGAGAAGTATAAAAATTCCCAAGAGCTAGTCGAAATTTCCAATTCGGACATTTTTTCAGATAGCCGCCGAGCCACTTGTCCAGACATTTTTCTGTTCGACTCACAAAACTGCCTTATGAAGCACGTTGTTCTTCGGATCTATGGAGCAAGAAATTGCGGAAAGAAGAGTCTCGCCAATCGAATCCATCATTTCGCAACCAGCATGGCTCCAGAGAAAGTTGATCGTAAGTCATAGTTGCGTGGGGGTTGGAAAGATTAAAAATTGATGATGACAAAGTTCTTGGTCAGAATAAGAAATGTAAATGTCCTGTTTCAGCGGATGAGAACGGAAACGACTACACCAAAATGACGACGTTTTTGTTGAATGGAAGAGAAGTGACACTGGAGATTCTTCTAGAGTCTAATCTGGAAAATTCACCATTCCGACAATCAAAAACAATGTATATTGTGATGTATAACATGGATAACAGACCATCGTTTATCTATGCGTCACAGATTTTGGAGAGGTTTGTTATAATAAAAAATAGAAGCAATATGAGGATTCTGAAAATTTCAGAATCACCTTGGCCAACTTGAACAATCCAGTTCCACTTCAACTGTTTTTGATTGGCAACAAGTGTGATTTAAAACGAAACCAAGTGATTTCAACGAACGAGGCGAAATCTGTGGCAAGAACTTTCAAATGCGAGTTTCTCGAAGTTTCTGCACTCCTTGGAATGAACACCGAGGAGACGTGGACCACGATTCTCAAGGAATTACAGGTAAGCAGATACCGTCTTTCAGAATGTTATTGAATTTTGCTCCAGGAACCCTCTGAACGCCGACGCCCATCTTGGGTCGAACGTCTTCTGAACCGAGGCAAAGGTGTCGCCAAGTCGGCGGAGGAAGTCTTCCATCGAATGCTCGCCTAATTACCCAATTATCCCAAACAGTTAATTATTTCAAAAAACCGTTTTCCAAAAAGACATTCACCGGGGGTCCCGTAATTCCTAATTTTCACAAATGTACATTTTCTTGTGTCAACTGCTGTAAGATATTCCCCATGAACATGTTTTTTGTGTTTTATTACCTGTATCTTTTTAATCCAAAAAAGCCAAATTAAAATCTCTCGCATTCATTTTTAACTTGTAGTTTGAATTTTTCTGTATTTTTCTTTAATTAAAAAAAATCAATTTTTGTATAGCTCGGCAGTTTTATTGGCAAAAAAGAAATTAGTCACAGCAAACGGTACAAGAAATTATGATTGATACAGTAGCCATGGAAGAACTGTTCAGGTCTGAAAAGGGTACTACGGATCTAGGGACCTAGGGACCTAAAGATTTACGGATCTAGGGACCTTCGGATCTAGGAACCTGCGGATCTAGGAACCTAAGAGTATAGGGATCTATGGTTCTAGGGATCTATGGATCTAGGGACCTGAGAATTTAGAGATCTAATTTGAAGAATCTAGGGACCTATAGATCACAGAACCTACAGATCTAGGAACCAACGAATCCAGGGACCCAAGAATCTAGGGACACACAGATTGAAGGATCTACAGATCTAGGAATTTACGAATCTAGGGACATACAGATCTAGGGAACTACGGATCCAGAGACCTAAGAACCTAAGAACCCATTGATCTAAGGATCAAAGAATTTTTGCTATTTACGTATGGGCGATAAAACTGAAAGAGAATATCCATTATCTCTCCGGAAAATTCGAAATTAATTTTTAGAAGGTTACGGAAAGTTTATTACTGTTTTTTGTTGAACTTTCGTTGTTGGTTATTTATATCGTTTGTTCGCCGAACACAAACGAAAAATGGTCCTGATCAGAGGCGATCATTAATTTGGCAATTAAGGGATGGTCTGTTCTTATATAAGATATGATGTGTCCCCGCAGGAGCTCCTCCCCGCCACCGGAGAATCACACAAATGTGGACACAGTTGACGACCCATTACTGTTGCGTTGCCCACTCCTTTTTTTCTTCCCGATCGATAATTTGCATTAGAAAAATTATGGTTTTTTTCACATATCCTGTGGACATAGTATTTTCAACAAACGTATTATTTTCAGAATGCCAATAAATCTTCTCAAAATGCCGGATGTAGTTGGCGTCGGGGTTGTGACTGAATTGGATTACCAGGGAATATTCCTACTTAGTGTATGCTCCCGTCGCAGCAATTGCTTAGTGAAAAAAGCAAGGATCACAGTTCCAAAGTTAAAATTTTGTTTTGAAAAATGTGATGCGTATGATTCATTTGTGATTGGAGTTAAGATTGATATGATGAAATGGTATTATATAACATCAGTAAAACATGTTCCCAAATTGGACTTGGAAGGAGTTGCAAATGCAAATACTGTACTTGATAACGAAGCAAGTTCAAAGTGAGTTTTAAATATATAAACTAACTCTCGAAACTTCAGAAGATCAACTTGATAATATGAGTTTTAACTATAGTTCTATGTAGACATTCAGAACAAGTTTTCGAGAAAATTAGGTCGAATGTTTCGAAAAATCATAAAAATGGGTTCTCAATTCCATTGTTGTTTCTCGCGTATATACCGAGACAATTCACTTTTTGGTTATAAATTTGGGATTGGCGAACTGATAGCTTTCAAGTGATATAGGTTACCAAGAGTATCGCTACACCCAGTATGGAGCTTTTCTTAGTGAGAAAGAGATGAATTTCATTCATTTTTTGATTTCCGAGAAAATTCTAGAAACATATAGAGATAGAAAAATGCAGATTTAAAACCAATAAAACATTTTTCAGTATCGAGTTCGGTTTCCAAACAAATGAAAGGTTTCGGTACCGAATAGAACGAGACAGCGAACCAATGGAAGTTCAGAAAGAGTATCAAGATTACATCAATTCAATATTCCACTACTCCGGTAATTACGAATTGTGCCTATCGATGGAATGTGAAGGACCACTGCCAAACATTACAAATGTGAAAGAAATAGAGATAGTGCACGAAACAGTAGATAATCAATTTTTAACAAATGCTTTGACGAAATATCCCGATACTGAATCCCTATATGTCGGATCGAGAATTGTTGGAGAACTCCCAGAAGATTCTCCATTGTTGCAAGTTCAAAATATTTATGCATGTCGATGTGGACCAGATTACTTTCAAGTAAATCTTATTCAAAACTTCGTTGGACGAAACTTGTATTTGGAGTCGGTTACCGTAACTGAACAAGATCTCATTCAGTTTATTCAAAAATGGATTTCAAACGAAGCTTATCACAATTTGGAGGCTTTAGTAATTTTTGTAGATAACCCATCTTCAATAAATGCCGATGTGATACGTCAGGCAATAGAATTTGAAGAATACGATAGGAATGAGCCAGAAAAGCGGCCAGAGTATTTCTTGTTTGATGCACCGTACGTTTTCTAATTATGAATTTTCTTTTCCTACTATTTAACATTTCAGGTTCATTAATCGCGGTGAAGTGGAGCATTATTCTCTCAGGGACAAGGATTATGTCGAAATAAACCGAACTACAGACGGGAAAAGAGCGTTCCTCTGTTGCGATCCTGGCCATTTGGAATTCTTTGTTCCCAAAATCTAACTCTAACGAATTTTTAAATTTTTTTTTCAGTTACCATTCTTATATCTCTTTTTTTTTTGTTTCTTGAAAAAATTGTTCGTTGCTTTTCTACATGTTCAAAAAGTATTTTTTCAATTAATAAAGCATAATTTAATTGGTTAAAGAAATGAGCTTTCCAGAAAAATCTAGAATATCCACGATTATTCCGGAAAATTTCAGATTATTCCAGAATTTTCTCAGACTTTTCAGAGATTCCAGAAAGTTTCCATTACTATTTTTTTGTCAAACTTTATGTGTTGGTTGTTCTTATCGTTCGAAATCGGTACTTTATGGAACACATTCAAACGAAGAAGGGTTCAGTGATCCGACTATTTAGATAAAGATTATGTTTCCACGAGAAAGAGAGGGTCTGTTGGTATGATGTGTCCCCGCAGGAGCTCCGCCCCGCCACCAGAGAGTCATCCGATTGTAGACTCAATGGTCCTCCATCACTGTTTTCCACTCTTTCTTTCTCACCATACGGCGATCGATATTCTTTAATGGAAAATCACATGTTCTCTAGAATCGTATATCCTGCGGAATCGTTCGTAAGAATTATGTTTTCAGAATGCCCATCAATCTTCTCAAACTACCTTGTTTAGTTGGCGCTATGGTCGTGACTGAATTGGACTACCAAAAAATATTTCTACTCAGTCTGTGCTCCCGTCGTACTTTATTTCTAGGGAAGAAAGCAAGAATCACGGTTCACAAGTTAACATTGCATTCTGAAAAATGTGATACATTTGTGATTGGAGTTAAGATTGATATGATGGAATGGTTTTATGTAACATCAGTAAAACATGTTCCCAAATTGAACTTGGAAGGAGTTTTGAATGCCAATCCTGTACTCGGTTACGGAGCAGACATAAAATGAGTTTTAGTTATATTTCTAGCAATAAAGACACAGGTTACCACTAAAAAGTATACAACAAAACGATAATTCAGTCTAACATAACTTTATTCAGTATCGTATCATGGTACGAGTATCGTATCATGGTACAAAAAGAGACCAGAACATTTTGTTATGGATGCACCGTACGTTTTCTAATCACGCTTCCTTCTCCCACCATGTAGTTATTCTGATTTATCAGTAACTGTGCAAAGGAGGAATATCGTCTCAGAAGCGAAGATTTTGTCGAAATAAAACAAATTACAGATGGAAAAAGAGCTTTCCTTGCTTGTGATCCTACCTGTTTGGAATTTTTTGTTCCCGAAATCTAACTGTAACGAGTTCTTATATTTCTAATCTGTATGAAAGTTTAGCGCACTTATAATTTTTTCAGTTTCCATTTTTATATATCATTTTTCTTGTTTCTTCTTGACAAAACTTACTTTTCTGCCAGTCTGAAAAGTATTTTTTCAATTAATAAAGCATAATTTAATTGGTTAAAGAAATGAGCTTTCCAGAAAAATCTAGAATATCCACGATTTTTCCGGAAAATTTCAGATTATTCCAGAATTTTCTCAGACTTTTCAGAGATTCCAGAAAGTTTCCATTACTATTTTTTTGTCAAACTTCATGTGTTGGTTGTTCTTATCGTTCGAAATCGGTACTTTATAGGACACATACAAACGAAGAATGGTCCAGTGATCCGACTAAATATTCTGTTGGCAGTCGGTGGATGGTCCATTCGTATGATGTGTCCCTGCAGGAGCTCCACCCCGCCACCGGAGAATCACCCGATTAGAATGAGACACAGTCTACGATCCACAACGTCACTATTGCCCACTCTTTTCTTCTCACCATACGGCAATCGATATTCTTGAATAGAAAACTGTATCTTTAAAGTATTGCTCGAAAACAGGATTTTAATGTCTTTGCCCGGTCCGCGTCCTGTATTGGTCACCCAGATCCAGGACACTCGCTCAGGGTCAACCGAATCCAGGACACGCGCTCAGGGTCACCCAAATCCAGGTCACCCGGATCCAGGTCACCCGGATCCAGGTCACCGAGAGCCAGGTCACCCGGATCCAGGTCACCCGGATCCACGTTATCCGGATCGAGGTCATCCGATCAGGGTCACCCGGATTCACGTCGTCCGGATCCACGTCATCCGGATCGAGGTCATCCGATCAGGGTCACCCGGTCAGGGTCACCCGGATCCAGGTCACCCGGATCCAGGTCACCCGGATCTGGGTTACCCGGATCCAGATCACCCGGATCCTGGTCAACCGGATCCAGGTCAACCGGATCCAGGTCAACCGGATCCAGGTCAACCGGATCCAGGTCCACCGGATCAAGGTCACTCGAGTCCAGGTCACCCAGACCGAGGTCACCCAGGACCCAGGACCTAGGACCCAGGATCCCGGGGTCACATTCTCTGGAGCCCAGAGAAGGTGAGAACTGATTCTTCATTTCATTTCCCTCTTCTTTTATATTACTTTCCCAGAGGGTAATGGTTTCTAAACCGATTCACGTAGTCGTTTTTTTTCTAGACTTTCAAAATTTCTTTCGAAGCATTTGTTTTTGCCGCGGGGGTTTCTTTTTAATTTTTTTTTTCATCACGTTTATGAACTTGAATTTTCACTTTTGAAATCTGTGAAACTCCTTAAAAAGTTCGTTCCTTTGAACCTAATTATATTATTTCCTGCTTGAGATATTAAAACATTGTCAACTGACGGAATGTTTCTGATATCCAGACAAACATTTCCGTTTTCAAAATTTCTGAATATCTTTTACAAGATCCGAGATATATTTGGCCAAAGTTGCAAAATTATAATTGTCATTTGTTGTCAGTTTACGCCCAATATTCACTTTTCTGCGAGTATGAGCGGGCCAGAGAGAAGAACGGATTAAAGTACTATGGATGGTAGTTCCTTTTTCTAACTTGTAGTTTAGCGAAGCTCGACAGTTTTTTAATGGCAAAAAATTAATCACAGCAAAAGGAAGAAGCAATTATGATTGACCATGAAAAATGAAATTTTTAAAAATCATGCTTCCTGTTCAGGTCCTCCAGAAGCGCTTGATATTTCTCCATCATTTTGTCACGGAACTGAAAATCAAAAATTAGGGTTAGACTAATTTTTTCTTTAAAACTAGCCGCATCCTTCTCCGGTCCATCCTCTCTGTCTGCCAGGTAAGTGAGGAATAATCCAGGAGTCACAGTACAAACGATCGCTCCATGCAATTGGAAAAATCTAGCGTAACTTTGTTGAAGCTGAAAATTTGGAAGATCTCTCTGGAAACCGATATGGTTATTGGTACCTGCTCAAATGTAAACGGAGCTTTTCCACCAGACGCTGCCGTCAACTCATCATGATAAACTTTGAGAAGTCGGTCTTCAGAATCTCGACGATCCTTTCCTCCCAAAGCCGTGACGAATAGACGAGTGAGATCTTGAGCGGCGTTTCCCCAGTTGACACTCTGAATGTTTTATTTTACCTTTCAAGATTTTATTCTTATTATTACCTGGAAATCAACGATAGCTCTGAACTTGAAAGATCCATCGGGAAGCTTTTGGTAGAGAAGATTGTGAAAGGAGTAGTCTCCATGGCAAAGTACTTCTTGGACACCGGAAATCTGACAATCATCATTCCATTTCTCGAAATTTTCTGGGGTCAAAATCCCATCTAGTTTTCCAATAGTATTTTTAGCCATTTCAGATGTCAACAAATCCGTCAATTCTCCTTTCCAGTTTCCGATGAACGAGTCCTTGTTCTGAAAAGTCATACAAATTCAAATATAGAAAAAATGTAATCCTTACCGACTGAATGAATAGTTTTGTAAACCAACTCTTCACGAAATCTCTGACGACTTCTTTGCTCTCTTCTTCTGTCAGATCAGCGCCAATCGAGTGAAATCTTGCCAGATTCTTCACAGCGTCTTCCAGTTCTTCTGGTTTCAAATTATCAGTACAATACATATGCGTAATATCTCTCATATACTCCATTATGATATGTCCTGGTTTGATGGGATCCGCAGTTGTGTCCATTTTTTCGAGTTCGTACACTTTTGGATAGGAAATGTTCTTTTCTTGATGTCTTTCGAGGAAAGTATAGGCTGCAACTTCAGTGTTGTGTAGGGTACAGAATGTGTTGTCGTCGATCAGGAAACGTTCTCGGGTACCTTCGCATCCGGGGACCTGAAAAAGTTGAGTTGTCATCATTAATTCCATAGAACTGTACTTTTTCTAGTTAGATTCCGCAAAACCTGCAATAGAAGGACCACTTAAACCTCCAACTTTGAGACCATATATCATTCCCTGTCGAAGATATCAAAAAGTGGTCAACTAATAAAATGTTTATCATAACATGAAAAATGTTTTGTCAATTGACCTATTTTTGATATCTTCTTCAGGGAATGAGATATATGGGCTCAAAGTTACAAGTTTGGGTGGCACTCTATGAGAGTGTTTACCGTAATCCGAATAAAGAATTATCTAAATTTTCAGTTCAAATTTACTATAAAAAACGTCCAGCTCACCTTCAAAAGCACTTTTCCTCCGTACTCCTCCGCATTTATCAACTGCATCGTCGACAACATTCCCTTTCCAAGACCCACATCTTCAACGACTTCGTACTCGGCAACCATATCTTCAATGGCTGGAAAAGGATGGCAAATTAAAAAAGTTCAGAGAATTTTCAATGAAGTCTATTTTCAAAACTTTTGTGAACCGAAAAAAAACCAAAAAAAAAGGAGAAAAACTTGAAAATTTGTTATGAACCTTTTTGATCTACTTAAAAGAACCGTTCAGTAAGATATACAAAAACTTATTTTTAATTGATTTTTGACCTTTTTGACCATTGTCATAAGTCTAGAACTCTTCTCTATGTCTGAAAGATTGTCTTTAAAACTCATTAAAACTCACAATCAGTAAAAAAATATCAATTAGTTTTCTGTCTTATATCTGACTATTTCTAGTTGTCTGAGAATCACGAGTGTTAGATCAAGAACAGAATCGCTTTCAAACCTTATTCTGACGAATTCTCCGAATAGACAAACTGTGATTTTTGGTCAATTTATCAAGAACCTCAAGAAAACTATTTGTTGTGACACAGAATATATTTCTGCTGATAAGTACACAGAGACGAAAAAAAGAAAAAAGGAACGACTGGCAAAACAAAACGAAAACTAGAAATGACTACTGGTAAACAACTGGCAGCAGCAGACACACAAGACGGATTATCACAGATTACATTGGTATGAATTTGTGGTTTATTTTTTATTGAGTTGAATAGACTTGGATAGACGGGAAATTGAGTTATTCAAAGAAAAATATCAAAGATTTCTAGACATAAGTGCTACTGATAACAAAGTTGTTTGGGGTCCCAATGAATAAAAGTTGTGACATTTACAGTGATCTCAATTATCTCAATTTCTATGCGAGATATCAAAAAGTGGTCAACAGATAAAATGTTTGCAATATTATAATGAACAATTTATTCGTTGACAATTTTTTGATACCTTTCACAGGGAATGAGAAAAATTGGCTCAAAGTTAAAAGTTAGGGAGTTGGGGAAAGTTAAATGTTTACCCCAGTTCTTAAACTAGACAAATTTTAAACTATAAATTAGAGTTTGAAATAAAAAATAGGATAGACAAAACCAAAAAAAATCGAAACCCTTTGAGTGGTAACTTGAGACAGACGAGTGGAATGGCAAACCCTTTTTACACTGTTTGTTAAGTTTTTTGAACTTCCGTAAGTATGTCTGAACTCACTTTGTATAGACAATGTTTGATGAGTTTTTGTTATTATTGGTTCGCTCAAAAAAATTTGGAAAGCATAATTTCAGATTCTATAAAAAAACATAGATGAAAGACTAAATTTGGTTTGAGCATGTATTTTTCAGATTACGTGAAAATGTGAGAAATCCATGCAAAAGTAGTTTTTGTTCTAACGAAACTAGGTTGGAATATTGCAATTTTTCCCATGTTGAGTAGTGTTGAAGTTTTTGGAAATTTTTGACAGCCAACAAAATTAGGCTACGGTTCGGTGATGATGGCCTTGCAAATTTTAGCTAGTCATGGTGAATCAAATAATCCGATGAGATGAAATAAAAATAGTTCTGGCATTCCAAACTTTTCAATCAAATTTTAAACTCTTCTTGACCTCTTTGCACTTTATATCTTCTTACTCTGCCACTTTTCTCATCTCCAATACTCCATCTGTCACTCAGATTCTCATATGTCAGAAGTATGATGCCACACTTTTACAAATGATGCATTTTGGCATCAAAAATCAATTATTGTCATTTTTCGAGCACAATCTGTTTTTTCCCTGAATTCAGAATACCGGTCAATAACATTTACAATAGAACATTCTTCAGGTGATTTTCGGCAATTTTGACTATTTTCAGGATTCTGGAGTTCAGCTGTCAAGCTTCCGATTACTTTGAAAAATTTGAAGGGTGTAAAACAGTCCTAGATTTAAAACTTTGTATTCACAGAATTTCTCAAAAATTCCTATTTTGACAATTATGGTTCTGTATACCCTACTGACCGGTACTGTATATGACTCCTCAACTTACATTTTTCAAACAAAAACGCATATTCAGAATACATTTTTTCAGTAATTCGAATAAATAATTGATGTTGTACTATTTGTACACTTTCTGAAATTCGTCTTATCATTTTTTTTTTCAAAATTTAACTCTTTTGTTGCAACATGTTATCAGATGACCAAAGGTGTGGAGCAAACAAAAAGTAAATAAATTTTCAAAGATGATAGATTGGAACCATTTTGTTGTCTCGCTAAAGAGTGGGAATTTTTCGAATATGGAATTACCTAGGATTTTCGGAATTTTCTTAGAAAATTATGTTCGAATTGAGCCGTACTAAAACAATTGGTGGGCCAATCAAATGGCACATGTTGGGCAAAATAATTCAAAATTGTTGGCCATGTTTTAAATGTCAACTTGCTGTGTAATAGCTGAACAAAGGTCCAGGTACGAAATTGCTAATACACAGAAAAATTATCATCTAGAAACAGAAATTTGCACCTAAACAACGATGTAAAATTATAAATCCGGTTAGGTTGAAGTTCAAGTATTTGACAGACTCAAAAATTTGATGCCGGAACTTTTTGAAATTGAAAAAAATGGGAATTTCAAGTGTCATTCGACCAAAATGGGCCTTATCATCAACTCTTTTCATTCCTAGAACCATTATCAGCATTCAATTTTTTTTCTTTTTTTTTATTCCAGTTCCAGCACTCATACACAAAAAAATTCGATTCGATTCACTTTATTGGTTTTTAAGAACAGAAAGAAAAATCAGTTTGAGTTCAATGTCAGCATCTCAATGGAACACTGATCAAATCGTCGCGCTCCTCACCATCCAATCCTTGGATTCCCTTGAAATGGACCTTGTTTTGACGATCCATCTGAAATAGTGTAACCCATTAAAAAAGGTCTCGGGGTTTTTTCCGCTACCATCATAACAATCCCACGGTTGTTGTGAGTTTTTACCAGTTTTGTTCCGGTGGTAATTGTAAGCAGTTGATGGCAAAGAGTGAACTGATATCCCTGCTTGACAACGTTATCCGAGTTTATCATCATACTCATATCCATAGACTTCAGAAGATCTCTCAACGTCTTCGACTCCTCATCTGAAAATCATATACGTCTGTCTGTGTGTCTGTGCATCTCATACCAATTTTATTTGGAGTGATTGGAGAAGACATATCAGTCTCCACGAACATCACCTCCAATCTTGTATTGTGATTCTCAAACGAGTTTCCATTTTTCACCGAAACCACATTCTTCTCATTCTTGATATTCGATGTTACCATTCCATTGACACATAGGATCTTCCGATTCAATACAGCAATCACCGGAAGACGCTTCAAGTAACTTTTGATGGTTGCATTCAGTGCTTGCCACTTGTTAGAATCCGAGAATCTCACTCTGAGCTCTCCAATGAAACTTCTCTCGGTTCTGAAAATCTTTAAAATCTAAAAAAAATTCCAGTCTTCAAATAGTACTTGACAAGTTCATTCTCGAAGAATCCTCGGAGAATCACAAAGTTCTGAGGGTAGCACATTTTACAGCACACCAGCATGACCAAAGTCTCCAAACTGAATTTTCCGCCATCGATGAAGTTTCCAAGGAAGACATATTTCTGATCGAATGGCCAACCGCAGTTCTAGAATGTGGTAGACAATTTTAGTGTTGTTTGATTTTATTTGTTGAATTGATAAGACGTAGTTGATAAGAAGAAGTGGAAAACTTCTAGTCTTTGTCATGTGTGTGAAATTTAAAAAAAAAACTAACTCTAAAAACGTCAAGCAGATCGCCATAACGACTTCTGATGTCACCACAAATGTTCACTGGTGGAGAGATGTACTCCACGCGGCATGCTCCGTCTATCATGTCCTGAAATATATTTTCAAAGAATTCAACTTTTCTAGAATTCAGAAAAAAATAGTACAAAAAACTGTAAAAGCTGGAGCCGTGCCCGTGGCCGAAGGTACCACAGCGACAATTACAGTAACCTAAAAAATATTTTCAGGATTCATTTTTTTTTTTTGAATTTGGCGCCATTTTCCGGATGTCCCAGTGGGAAGGAAACAGAGCGTTTCAGCCTAAGCCTATAGTTTTGAAAGAAGAACATAAAAAGTTGAAAAAATTCTAGTCAATAAAGTATTGAAATTCGCGAAAATCAATGAATTTTCACATTTTTCGCTGAAATTCCTTATGTAGCTAAATCAACTGAATTTTGACAATTTCACTAGAATAGTCTTTTTGAGAGCATCATAATGAGCACTAACACGACTAGGCTCCGCCCACTTTAAATTTTCGCATACGGACGCGACGCATGACCGTGACGCGTCTGAAAAATAAAATTGTTCGGAGCCTAGTTGTGTACGGGCTCATTTTGAAGCTCTCGAAAAGGCTAATCTAGTAAAATGTTCAAAATTTAGCTTGTTTAGTTAAATGAGAATTTTCAGCGAAAAATGTGAAAATTCATTGATTTTCGCGATGTCCTTTTTTGACTGGAATTTTTTAAAACTTGTGTTGGTGTTTTTTTTGAAATTGTAAGCTCAGCCTACTACGTCTTGTTTCCCTTCAGCTGGGACACCCGCATTTTGGCGCCAAATTCAAAAGTTTTGGGTTACGGTAGTTAGGTTACTGTAGTTGTCATTGTTGGATCTTCGGCCACGGCCCCCGTTCCACAGCTCAGATGTTTTTGGATCAGAATAGTATGACTTCTCAAAAACCACTCCTCTCTTACCAACGCATCTTCCATCAATTCGCTCAAGAATCCAAACGAGTACTCATGTTCCACAGGTCCCTTCTGAAGATGATCCTTGATGACCTCCTCGTAAAAGTTGCGCTTGATTCTGCCGATCGGTTGTGATTCCACCATTTTCTGAATATTTTGAAATACCGATTGCTCTAAACCATTTTTGATGCCTTCGCCTGCCAACCGATCTTTTTTGATGACACCTACTGCCCTAGTTTTCATGTTGCTGCTGTTCACGTTTCACATTCTTATTAACGTTTATGCAAAGTGGAAGAAATCGGGAAATTGGGGGAGAAACGGTTAAAAATTTGAATTTCGTGTCATGTCATCTGGTGCAACTGGGAAAATGAGAAACGGGGTGGAGATCGTGCGGGAAAGAAGAAGGACTAGGGGAAGGTATTGAGATTCTGGGAATATGAAGAAAAAGAAAAAAATACGAAAAATAAAGAGATCAAAAGATTAGAAAAATCTGTGCAAAAGTTCGTATTCTGTCCGATCGAGATCAGGCGCTAAGCCAACGTATTCGGGACGTTCATCGGATTCACCATTAGGTCGAGTCAGCTTGTCACATTTACAACTTGGAGGATTACAGCATGGGATTAACTGAAAACAATAACTTTGATTGTTGAAAAATTTTAATTATGTCTAATTGCCCCTAATTATCATTGTTAGTTAAGCCATATACAATAAGATACACAAAAAAAAATTTTTCAGTTGATTTTAGGCCATTTTGACCATCTTTAGAAGTCTGGAGCTCGGCTGTCAAGTTTCCAATCACTTTGGAATTATTTGAGGGTGTAAAACAGACCTAGATTGAAAACTTCGCATTTGCAGAATTTTTTCAAAATTCCTAGTTTTTCAGCTATTCGCCGATTCCAGAAAAACACTCCCTTTTGGCCCGTTTCTGTGCTGAAATCGTAAAAAGGGGTATCTTTCAGAAATCACCGAATAGCTGAAAAACTGGGAATATTCAAAACATTCTGTGAATGCTAAAATTTCAATTTAGGTTTGTTTGACACCTTCCAAAGTGTTCAAAGTGATCGGAAACTTGACAGACGAACTCCAGACTTCCGAAAACGGTCGAAAATTTACTGCAATGTGATTCTTTAATTATCTTATATACCTAGACTATAGTCTGTGTATCTGTGTGCCCCATACCTATTTTATTTGGAGTTAATCTTGCTCCTAATTATCATCATTAGTCTAGACCCAACAGAATATTGCTCATTCTTACCGTTTTATTAAAGTTTCCAAGAACATTTTTGACTTTGACCAGAGATGATTTGTGCTCTGTTAGCCGTTGCATAGCTTGGAATCTTATCTGAAAACGGGAAAACATCTCATTTATAACTGCTTTGTTTATAGCCTACTTCTTGGGATTTCACCGAATTTTGCAGTGGATACTGCTCATAAGGATCACGGATTAAATCGAAAACAAGTGGAGGATAGTGCTTCTGAAGATGCTCATCTGGGCACACTTGGGAGACGTACCTGGAAAACCGTACTTGGTATTACGACACTTGAAAACAACACTTACCAATCAGACTTTGGTTTTCCATTCGGGCAGAAATAATCAAGATTCGGGTCGACTGAAGTGTTCAGGAATATCGGTGAGGTTTTGTAGTGTACTTTGTAGTCTCCTATCCTAATTGCCATCAAATGTGTGTTACAGTAGTAGATAATTGGTCGGGCTTTTCCGAGGCTTCCCTCAACGTCATCAGTCTCACCACGCAACTCGTCAGCGATGTTGATGCCGTCAGAACGGAGTGCTTCCTTCTACAAAAATTTGAGAACTTTTAATTCAGTTATGTCTAGTGTGATAGAACTCGGCGAGTACTACAAAACGATTTCATTTGGAAAATTGTATCTTGTCTATGAACAAAGTTACAAGTCATGAACTATCTGATCCACGCGGTCTCATCTTTAAGACCTTGTAACTTTCTTCATAGACAAGGTACAGTAATCCAAATAGTATCATTTTGTAGTACTTGTCGAGTTCTATTTTAACTAGTCTGTTGAATTGAAAATATAGAGTTTCAAAGAAACAGAGCCCACGAAGGTTTGCAAGTATGACCATGTTAACAGATGCTTACCTCAAAAAGACACTCTTCATTCATAGCTCTAAAAGTCGGGAACAAGTCCATGCTGGAAATGACTTCATGAGAGACACGAGATGGTTTGACAGTTCCCGGTTGCCAAGCAATGAACGGAATCCTGAATCCTCCTTCGTAGCTGTTCGATTTTCCTCCCTTCAATCCAGCAGTAGATCCTCCATTCAAGCACAGCTCCACATGCGGTCCATGGTCCGACATCAAAATCACCAATGTGTTTTCAGCGATTCCAGCGTTGACCAAACTGTCCAAAACCTCTCCAACCGCCCATGACATTTCATTGATCGAGTCTCCATAGATTCCTGAAAATTAAAAATAGAGTGAAAAGGAATAAAAGACATTGGGTGGGGGGATTAGTTGTAAAGAAACTCAGCAGATGTGTTTGTTTCTTCTTCTTTCATCTTTTCATTGCGTTTGTTTTGTTTGTCGTTGATCTAGATGAGATTCTGATAAGATATATAGTGAGTGTAGGAGGTGAAAGTGAAAAGCGTGGGGTGGCTACAAACTGACGGACAAAACTACGAAAGATATGATAAGGGAACATGATCTTCAATCGATCATAGTTCGGATTTGATTCAAAGAAAACTCAGGTTTTTATATTCTACAATATTTTCAATAAATCACAATTTGGGTTCTAGTTTCTACGGACCTAGAAAAACAAAAAACAACCAGTCTGATACAAACTTTGAGCGGGTATATCTCGGCTCTTGTGAAAGATATCAAAAAGGTGTCAACTTATAAAATATTTTTGATATTATGATAAACATTTTGCCAGTTGACCGCTTCTTGATATCTACTACAGCAATCGAGATAACTGTGCTCAAAGTTGACGGTTTGGGTGGACTTCTTATTGAGGGGATACGGTAGATGGAAACCAAGAAGCTTGAAACCATGTCTGTTTTCCTGGGACATCAGAATCCCTTAAATGTTTTTTGTCCTATAGATTCGGAACACCAAGAACAGCAACACCAATCATTTCTGATCGTTAATTTATAGATCAGTAGGTCGAAAACTTATGAAAAGCCTTCCATCCTTTTATTGGGAAAATATCAAACATCAGTTTTTGCTTCCTTCCCCCACCACTCGCACTAAAGATGTTTGACCTCCATAACGTACTATAAGCCTGATCTTCCTACATACACGATACGATCTAACCGATTTCTTCTAGCTTACCTCTAACTGAAGATCCTCTGAATCGTTTGCTGGCAAACTGGGTTGAGTGGACCTGTGGGAAGGAGAAGTAGAAGAAGAAGGGTCTCTCGTGTTGATCCTGAGCCAATCGGGTCATCAAAAATCGCTTCCAGTCTCCAACAAGATTCTCGGTCATGTGCTCAAACTTCATTGGCTGCTGAACAATATCATCTCCATCGTAAAGGAAACATAATGATGGATCTGGTCCTTTGTCGTAGTATTCTTTCGTGGTATCACATTGCCAAACATTGGTGAACGGTAAGTTGACTCCAACATAATCGAATCCACGTTTGGATGGCAAGTGCGCTCCATCGGTCGCATTGTTCTCATTGATTCCCAAATGCCACTTTCCAACCATTCCCGTCGCATATCCAGCCTCTTTCAGCATTTCAGCCATTGTGGTTTCTGTCTTTGGAAGACCTCCAATATCATACGGTACAAATACTCTCCTGCCTCCAACTATTCCTAATCGTATCGGTAGCCTTCCAGTTATAAATCCAGCTCGACTCGGCGAGCACATGCTGTCTGCCGAATAGGCTTGTGTGAATCGGGTGCCTTCTGCAGCCATCCGATCGACTTGTGTGTATTCCTGTGTCGGGTGACCGTATGCCGCAATGTCACCGTAACCCAGGTCATCAATCATGAGCACAACGATGTTGGGATGGTGTGGCGACGGCGGCTGCACAGAACAATCTTCTCGTAGTTGCTCTTGGAGTGTGTGAAGTGTGAAAATGAAGAGAAGGAAGAAACTCACCGGGGACATGATCTGAAAATGAGTAATGAAATTATTAATGGGGAGGGAAGTGGAATGGAATGAAGAGAACGAAACATGAAGAATCCAGATTCTGTTAAGGAAGCCAGCCTTGCAAAATTTGTGTCAAATATTTTCAAAAGTTTGATTCAGGAACGCCCCTCTGAGAATCACTTTTTTGACGTATGTGGGTGGGAACCTCGTTCAGATCTATGAAATTATGTTCTGCAGAACAGAAGTTGATTCGTTAAGAACAGAAAGTGCAGTTTCTACAAATGGAATGTTTTAAAAAATTGGAAAATTAGAGTTTCAGAGTTTCTCTCAAACAACTCACCACTTTCCCACTACTACAGTAGAACCCGTGATAGACGGACTCCTAACTTTGCGTCAATTTATCTTGGTTCCTGTCAATGATATCGAGAATCTGTCAATTGATAAATTGTTTATCATAATATCACTAACATTTTAATAATTGACAAAAGTTTGATATCTCCCATAGAAGCCGATATAATTGAGCTCAAAGTTGACAGTATGGGGCCTTCGACGACTACTAAAATAGAAGCCAAATATTATACCAATTAATACACATTAATACACATAAAATTGACTCAAAGACTACATTGAAACTAGAGTTTCTGCTTATTGGAAGCCTCTGAAAAATGAAAAATGTATCAAAAATAAAACTTCAGATTTTCCGAAAAACGGCTTCATTTATGTAGTCACCTATTCCTGAGAATTATGACGCCGAGAAAAAGAAAACGCCACAAATTAATGACCAATCAGAAGCTGTGAGGAGTAAAGAGAGGGGGATTCCCTTAAAAACAAACAGTATAATTTTACTCTATCGGGTACTAGGGCGTCGGCTCTGTCTATTTTGATTAATCCTCGATCTCTTACTAATCCTAAAATTTTCGCTGTTTTTCCTGAAGCACATTGCACATTTCAAATTTTGTTCAGGTCTTTTTATCTCTAGCAGAAACAAGAAGGAGGAGATTACATAGAGATGCAAAAGTGATAAATATTTTTGAAGTTCCGAATCCGGATCACTATTCTTGGGTTTCGAGACAGGGTGACGCGTCTACTGGTCCATTTTGGTCACTGGAATCTCCCGCACGTGGTAAAATTAGGTCAGAGGGATGGGACAAAAAACACATATAGAAGAAGCATGAGAAAGTAAATAACCACAGGGGAAGGGAACGAAACGGGTTTTTAAGAGAACGAGTACTTTTTGCATAAGTTCAGATGACCATTGATCGGCCAAAACAATTTATTTTTAAAATTCTAGATGAATTTCTAGAATGAGAAATAAAGTGCGTCACAGTGAGCAATTATAATGAGATTATATGTTCTGGGATTTTTAATCTAATTTAAATAAATTTGGGTGCATGTGAGGTCGGATGAGCAGAATTTGCAGATTTTGGTCAGTTAGAATTTTAATCTTTTTTTTCCCTTTAAGGGGGCGTGAAAAAATGTTCTAAAAAAAAAAAAACGCCACTCAAGGAGTTGAGCTTGTGGGACAAGTATTGAAGGTGCGGCGCCGCTACCGACTGAGCCACACCGGCTGTGTGTGTCTCTCTCTCTCTCTCTCTCTCTCTCTCTCTCTCTCTCTCTCTCTCTCTCTCTCTCTCTCTTTCTCCTTTTCAGATTTTATACGGAATTGCCTGAATTTTAAATAATATTCTTATCAGTACGATAATCAAAATCGGAAAAATTCGGAATTCGAGAAAACCAAAAATGAAAAGGAAAATCTGAAAACCAGCTGGATGAGAAATTCCATCGGTGGTATTTTGTAAGATGACCGCTTTTTGATATCTGTTACAGGAACCGAGATGTATGGGCTCAAAGTTGAGACCGAGCAACGAAAAAAAAAACTCTAAAAATCACCAATAACCAAATGTCCAAGATGAATCACAATAAGGAAAACAATTAGGAATCCTGATCTTGATATCCAAAAATTATTCCGTGCCATTTGGATCGAAATGTGAAATCCAAGGGATGCTTTTTTGATTTCGGAAGTTTTTGAGCAAAAATAAAGAAGCCGTATAGTAGAGCAGTCAAAAAAACATTTTTCGAAATTTCTGAATATTTGGATCTTTACGGCGCATCATTAGGAGGGTACAATGATACGGGGGTACAAAACAATTTAGGGGTACAAAATCCCCGATTCAAATTTTTTGAGATATTTTGTACCCCCAAATTAGTTCTCCAGAGACGCTAAAGCTTGTACCCACCGTATCATTTGCCATTCTTTAGGAAAAATTGGAAACTGAAACCAATCCGTTCAAAAGTCAACTTTTATACTTGTTCCAGTTTTCAGGTATAAACTACGATTCGTTTTTTTTTTGCATCAATTTTCAAAGAATTGATGTGAGACCGTGATTTGTGTGTTGAAAAGATCAACAGCAGTCTTTTTTTGGTCTCCCGATCAGTTTGACAAACCATTTCAACTTTGACCAAACAACAGTTTCATCATACATGTGGATGGCCTGGCCAGCCATCTTGTCCACAAGCTTGGTTTTCATAGAACACCAGACCGACAGGAAAGTCAACGGAAGTTCCGATGACCGAAGGTCTAAACAATCGAGACTCTTCTAGAAATGAAAAAACACACATTTTTTAGAAGGAAAGAAAGGTTTCTCGATGACGGAAGCAATCTGTCACTAGCAGGAGGGATCCAGAAAAAGAAAAAAAAGTTGTTTCGTGTTGGTGGTTGTAATGAAATCCCTGTGCGTGGGAATTTCCTATTGCGTATATTAGGGAAGGTGGTTGTCCGGGGGAGAATCAAAAATGTTCTAGTAGGTTCGGTGGGATCAGGGAAAACCACTAAGTACAGACAGACCAGGATCAGGAGAAATAAAAATAGGTCGAAAATTGAAGTATCAGGAACAGTATCAGGAATTTTGAGCAGAGTACGTCTGGTATAGGTAGGATAAGACGGCCTAGCAGCCCTAGTGACTTCTGTGTCGCTGAGCGTATTTTCGAAAGAACAGACTGATTGGTCCATGGCAACCTAACCACGGGCTGAGTAACAACCAACTGCGATTCGTAGAGCTTGGGTTTATTAGAATTTTAACATAGTTTATTTTTTTTACAGGATCAATGAATTTCAGATGTTTGGAATTGAGACTCATGTTGACAAAGATTCCGCCTGCATCCGATTCGAATCATGGTGTAGGAGACGAAGACATTTAAATTCAATTCCTCGAATTAAAAAAAATTTGGGGTTGAGAGTTTCCTGGTATTTTTACCACTCGAATGTTAAAGCCATAAATTTCTAGGATTCCTAAAATGATAATTCGCTAAGGTGATCGCTTAAGTTAAATTTCAAAAATTCGGAGTTTGGAAATTTTGAAAAATTTAGGGATGACAGGAGCTGTCTCGCAGATTTCATGGAGTTAGTGTCATCTTGCACTACCGTAGCTCAGCTGGAAGCGGCGCGGTACCTCCAGAAGTGGGCCCACGAGTTCAAAGTTCCTTGAAGAAGCATATTTTTAGAAGAATCATGATTTCAAAGCATCAAAAAAAGATTTTAGACAACATGATTCTTTGAAATTCTAGCTTCTGACTATCTTAATCTTAAGATCACCTCAAAAAAATTTCAAAACATCCGGAAGTATAGTTCAAAGATAACAAGATAAAGCTCAACAACAACATATGAAAAGTGTCTACAAATCCAGCCATGAATCAAATATCGAACGTGAAAAATGAGATAATTTGTTATGCAGGGAAGGGGGTAAAGAGATAACGAGAAGCAGAAAATGACCCTCCCCCTTTTTGGAAAAATTCGGAAAATCTCGAAGAACGTCTTCAGACTGAGACAGAGAGAAACGGACAAAGGTAAATTGATAAGGATTTTGTGAAAAACAGGAAAAGAGTTAATTTTTCGGAATTTCGGAAATTATAAGTCTTCTATGCATAGAAAAATCGGAAGGTGTGAAGAATAAAGAAAATTCTGTGTGAAAACGAAAAAGAAAAAGTTGTTGCGTCACACCGAAGAATAAGAAGAAGAAGAGGTGAAAAGGAGACATATGTACGGGGGAGACGAAATTTCGATGGAAATGTACGAAAACGGGCCTTGAAGCTGTGAAGGTGGCGCAGCAGAGATTACAGGTCAAAGAGAAGAGAACGAATTGATAAAAGTGATAAAAGGACATCAAATGAAGTTCAGAATGATACCGAATCATAGGAGACGAGTCAGAAGAAAAGAAGTCAGAAGCAGAACGTGATTCTGAATTCTCACGAGGGAACCTCACCACCTTGTGAACCCAGATTTTGTTGAAACTGTCAGGCTAGATTCAGAACAGCATATCTAGAAATTTCTGAAAATTTCAAAGTACCAAAAATCGCGTTTTGATTTTCATAGGGTTCTAGATAGACTATTCTTAACCTATTCTGAAATTTTCATGAAAATCTGGATTGAGGTTCCCTTGTCAAATGAATGAGGGACAAGATATAGACATGTTTTTTTCTGGAATACCGGATATTCAGGAGAAGAAGAAGCAGAAGATGAAGAAGACATTGGTGGACACACACTAGAAGGCGGAGGATGAGTGCAATGAGCACTCCAGAATATTTCAGAAAGCGTTGAGGGAGACGTCACTTTTTTAAGAGGCAACCTAGTAGGGATCATTAGTAAGGGAAAAACAGGAAACGGATTGATGAATATCTCTGGGGAAACTGTTTTTGAGAATTTTTGGAGTGAACTTGGCAGATTGCCAAGATAAAGAGACCACGGCGCATTTCAACGCCGCCGCAAAGAGAAAGGAGACTGTAGGGAGGGAAATTTGAGAGAAGATAATTCTTCTAATTTTATTTGAGGTTCTTGAAGGATTACTGTAACAGTGGCTCACTCAGAACTGTAAAAATTATCAAATTTGTAGATTTTACGCTGAAAATGCTGCAACAGTTAGAAAACTTGAAATATCTACAAATTCGAAATCTCCTTCCACTATTTTTGTTTTTTTTAAATTAAACCACTGAACCGATTTGAAGAAATTGAAATCAGAGACCCTAACAAAAAACAACGCCTATCGTAATCGAAGCAGAATCTCTTTTAAAAACAAAAGGGAGATTGCTAATGATCCTGACAATCTAGAATTTTCTCCCAGGTTTCTCGAACAAAAGTTTAACATAGGAACAACAGGAATAAATAAGACATTAGAAATCAAAGTGATGAGCGGTAAACAAAGCCTTATCGATATAGATACATATGATGAGCTCGTTTGTTATAAGAAGAAGAAGAGGAAGAAGAGGAAGATGATATCATAACAATGCGCAATTTGAGATGGATGTGATCTTTGGTAATTAATGGACCAAATGAGGAATGATTTGAGGTAGAGAAACATTTTTCCTGGGGAAAGTAGATAGTCCAATATTCAAGGGTTCTTAGACGAACTGATTATAATGGAAGTACCGTAAACAGCCAATTAATCTCGGTTTCTGTGAAAGATATCAAAAGGTGATTAACTGAGAAAACATTTTTGATATCATGATACACATTTTGTTAATTGACAACTTTTTGATATAATCGGCAGGAACTGAGATAAATTGGCTTAAAGTTGACGGTTTTAGGTGGGCTTTCTAGCAACCTCCAATGAAAGTTCTATCACAGGGGGTACAGTATTTTGAAAAAATTTTAATTTCGGTTTTTTTCAGAAAATTCAGGAACACTTCGAAATTTCGAACTCGTTTACACTGATTTTATTTTATTTTTCAATTCAAAAAAGGAATTCATCTAATACCAACATACTGTAAACCCTGGAATAGAAGCCCCACCCACACACCATCCAGTGTGAGCTGATTTTTCTGGGCTTCTATGCAAGATATCAACTGTGTCCATTAATAAAATGTTGTTGATATCATGATAAACAATTTATCAGTTGATAACTTTTTGTTATCTTTGACAGGAATTGAGATAAATCCACTCAAAGTGAGGGGCCTTCTATTACAGGTTTTATGGTGCCTGCCTCAAAAGAATCTCGAACTCATTGAACTCACACAAACTACAAAAAAACCTAAAACCATCACCCTGTTTCTAGAAAAAAAGAAGGCAAAATGAATAAGCCTGGGTCCTCAGTCTTGAAATTTATCGAATTATCGCCACGATGGCTCATGAGAAAATGTCAACAGGGCAGTCACTCGGCCCATCTGAGTCTCAGAAAACGAGCTTTTCCTCGTATTCCTCATTTTTTCCAGCTTGACCCAATTCTAATTATTTGCATTCATGGCGGTTTGTCACATGGACCGAAAAAAAATGGGCGGAGTTCCAAGGAGGAGGGGGAAGAAAATGAATTTCAACTGAAAAAAAGACCACCACCGCAAATCAAATATATACTACTCGGCTGGTGGGGTGGAGCAGCAGGATGACGCCGCCGCTGATGATGACGTTGAATTCAGAATGTTGCAAAATTGTAGGCGTGCTTCTATTCTGCTGCGACTGGGAAAGTGTCAGAAACAAGGAAAGGGCAAGAAGACTGAAGATCGAAAGGACTAAAAAAATGAATCTAGAAATGAAATTAGGAGTAGAAGACAATTAGAACTATATAGCCTTCACTGGAATTCAATTTAAATGAATAGAGTGAGAACTCCCAACTGGAAGCCACTGTATAAATACATGCGTAGGTGGCTAGTTGGTAACTTTTTGGTTTCACTAATCGGAAAAAAATATATTTCAAAAATATTATTATTTGCAAAGGGTAAAAATGATGTGAAATTAATGAAAACACGGAAAGAAGACCACCTATAAGAAGAATTAAAAAAAGATGACCCAAAAATAGAAGGCGTGATCCTGTAAATTCAAAAATATCCTATGATATTTGGACCTTACCTATGACCTAGAAACTTCAAGAATGCCTAAAAAAACAACTTGCTACCAACCTCGAGGTTTTTAAAAACTAATTTAATCGGTTTAACTCTAGAAACATGTGCTCTCTTGTCACTCAAAACTTGACTGATATTCGTCACTCGGTGGTCACTGAAATTTTGATTTTCAGAATAAATCGAATTTTTGAGATTCCCGAATAATCACAAACCGAATCAGAAGATATGTGGGAAACGAGTTTCAGAACTATTGTGTTGTTTTCAAAAATCTAGACCCTCACAACTTAGATTTTTGGAAGATCACCGATTGACACTGAAATTGAGACAATATTTACTGGGATGGGGGTTTTTCGGGTCACATAGTTTCTAGAAAGTTCTTGTTACTAACATTTCTCACATGAATTGCAGTGATGTTTCCACGTGGATTTCAGAAATTTTCAGTGTTCATCTCCGCCAGACATGAGCGGAATAAAATTTTTGAAAATCCGGAAGAAGGAATAAGGAATAAGGAACAAATATTAAAAATCAGGAATAAGGAATAAGGAATGAGGAATAAAAATTGAAAAACCCGGAAGAAGGAATAAGGAATAAGGAATAGAAAAAACACCCGGAATAAGGAATACGGAACAAAATTTCGAAAAAAGCCTAATGTTTTTTGAAATTTTTTGATAAAACATATAAAAGAGGAATTTAGGCTTCATTGAACGACTTTTTAAGTGGTAGTTTAGGTTTAGGAAGCGTTTTTTCTGATTTTAAATTTCAAATTTTTAATTGTTCGAATTTTCCGGAAGAATAAGAAAAAATCAGGAATAAGGAATGAGGAATAAAAATTGAAAAACCCGGAAGAAGGAATAAGGACTAAAGAATAGAAAAAAACACCCGGAATAAGGAATAAGGAATTCCGCTCATGTTTGATCTCCGCCCTGATACATGATATCAGTCAAAATGTGTAGTATCAAAGTCAAAGTTTCAAGTTCAACAAAAAATTTGTTCCGCTGAAAATTACAGTTCTTGCTAAAAATAAGCAATTCAACAATTGTGCTCAAAAAATTAGAAGATCCTGACTGGCACCGGACCATTATGGTAGAGCGTAAACACTCTAATAGCACCTTTCCCGAACCATCACTTTAGAGCCAATTTATCTCGGTACCTGTAAAAGATACCAAAAAGTGGTCAACTGATAAAATGCTTCTGATATTATGATAAAAATTTTGTCAGTTGACAACTTTTTGATATCTGTTACAGGAACCGATATAAATTAACGCAAAGTGGACAACTAGATGGCCTATGCTCAAGAAGGAGGGCAAAGAGAAACTGGAGCGGTTGCTTACCTACGTCTCTTTCAAAACAATTTACCTCGGTCCCTGTCAAAGATATCAAAAAAAAAAGATCAACTGATAAAATATTTATATGCAGTTATTTTACAACTTTTTGATATCTGTTACAGGAACCGATATAAATTAACTCAAATTTAACTAGCCCACCCAACCACACCCAAGAAGAAGGGAACAGTAAAGCTGGAGCGGCTGCTCGTCAACGTCTTTTTTAAAGCAATTTATCTCGGTCACTGTGAAAAATATTGAAAAGTTGTCAACTGATGAAATGTTTGTCCTATTATCATAAAGATTTTATCAGTTGACCACTTTTCGATATCTTTCATATAAACCGAAATATATAAGCTCAATAATTACATATATCACAAGTGGATTTTTTCAGGTAACCACATATTACTTTTTTTTCAAAAATGCAAACTCGTCCAAATGTTCCGAGTATTTTCTAGACTGGTTTTTGAATTTCATCTGCAGAAAAAATCTAAAAATCCTTTTCCCTCTTTTGCTTCCAAAAAGCAACAATACTTGACGTACCCGATACTCTACCATGATCTAATTTTGAGCACATATTTTATTCAAAAATACACCTCCGCAATTTTTGTCTGTTTTCAGAATCTTTGAAAAAAACAAATGATATTAATAAAAGGGCCCATTTATTTGTCTAGGCCCAAAACTAATCACATTTTGACCATGGTACTCTTGGGTCAAAAACAAAAATATGATATGAACAAAAAAATATATATATCAATAAGGAACGAGAGAGCAAAAACAATATACAAAAGGTTGCCATCAGAGTGGGTGATGGATGGATGACACGTACATGAATTCTAGATCACGTCTTCTAAAGTTGTCAAAGTTACGATTCTGAGGTCACACTGTTACCCCCAAACAAAACACAAAAAAAATGACCAAGAAAGAATAAAAAGACAATATAGAAAAAAGTGGTAAAACGGGGAACCTACATTATAGTTGACCCAATAAACGACAAAAAACTGAGATCCGGTTTCCCAATTTTTGTGAAAAATGGATCACTTTTATAGGTCATTGTCAGTGTGTTCATAAAACAGTTCAAAAAATATAAAAAGTGTAATAAAACGCATTTTATCAGCGGGAAGGTTAGGAAAAACCATAGATGCGTTCAATTCAAATGAAGTCTCTCTCCTTTCTCGATTCTCTGCTGTTTGAGACGATGGGCCAGAGGAGATCTGAAAACCGGTAATTGTGATTTTCATTTTGTTGCGATTTTTCGACAATTTTTATTCCTCATAAAAACCATTTTTCGGTGAACAGTGGTAATTTCGTTTCGCTGATTGCGATGATCTTTAGTGTGATCATTTCGATCGTTATCTTTAAAAATCGCAACGATATAAATTTGATTCGAAAACTTCACCCGTCACCTGAGACGGTGATACGTACATGTGACCTCATGTGTTTCCTTGTTTGATTTTTGAAAATTTTCAAATTTTAAGGAACTAATCGGGGGAGGGCACCCGACTTTTTGAATTTGGCGCTATTCTTTGGATGTCCCAGTAGAAAGGAAGCAAGGCGTTTTAGCCTAGAAATTTTGAATCATTTTAAAAAGCTTGAAAAAAATATTCCGGTCAAAAAAGCACTGAAATTCGCAAACCCCAGTAAATTTTCAGATTTTTCGCTGGAAAATTTTTTATCTAGCCGAATTATCTAAATTTTAGGCATTTTCACTAGATTTGCCTTCTTGAGGGCTTCAAAATAAACTCTAACACGACTAGGCTCCAAATACTTTAATTTTTCAGACGCGTCGCGGTCATGCGTCGCGTGCGTGTGCAAAGTTTTGAAATTAACGGAGCCTAGTCGAGTTTGAGTTCATTTTAAAGCTCTCGGAAAGACAAATCTAGTTGGAACGCTCAAAATTTAGCCACATTACATACGAAAAATCTCAAAATTTTCGAATTTGGCGCCAAAATGGGGATGTCCCGTTGGAAGGGAAATAAACCACATAAGCCTACGCCTATGATTCGAACAATTCTTTGCTTAAAACTATAGGCTTATGCTAAAACACCTTGATTCCCTCCCACTGGGACATCCGTAAAAGGCGCCAAATCCAAAAAATCGCCCCCCCCCCCCTTCCAACTATCTCAGCGTCCAAATTTTTTAAATTTCAATTTTTTCCAGGCTTCTCAAAACTCACGAGACTCTCGAAATGTAACTGTTATTCTTCAACAAGTTGACCTCACTCTCCGCCTTCTCGCGAGCCGACAACGACGATGGTTCGGTTTCAGGGATCTTTGGCAGAGCCTCCTTCTTCACATACGACCATGTTCGCTTGATCCTGAAACTTCTGTTTTTTGTTCTAAATTTTCCAGACTCTATACTTTTTGTCAGTAGTTTCAATCTCCTCAATACGCATCTCTTCCAGTACCACAGTAGTTGGTTTCTGTAAAATTTTTTTTCGTACTTTTTTTTTCTTGTCTAATACACACTATGATTTAGGGTGGTCTATTCATGGACCATCTGAGCCAACGCCTCCCCGGAAAAAAAGCCGTTTTTTTTCTTTCAAAAGTGCGTCACACTTCTGACGATTGCGAAAAGAAAAGAGGAGCATGAATATCAATTTCATATGTTTCAAGAAACATAGACAGGCTAAAAAATGTATGCAGGGGGCGAGTTTGGCGAATCTAATTTGCATAGAAGTCTGCTGCATAAGACACATTTGTCATTGAAACGGCGCATGGCTGCTTCCGTTGGATCACGTACTTTACGTGATTTTTGCAAACATTACGGGAACGGTTTGGAGGTGACAATGAGGGAGATAAAAGGAGGGGGGGGAGAGAAAGTATCAGACTGCATTCCAATATGGGGGCAGCAGACATCCCATCTCGTAGTACAAAATGTGTATGAGAAAATAGAAATTATGATTTTTAGATTATAAAAGGGGTCAGATGTTGTCAGAAATCAGATTGACCCAGTTTCAAAATTAGGGCTTTGTAAGACTTTTAGTTTTAGTGATTTAATGTTGTTTTTTCACTGTCGATTTTTTTTTAAATATGTTATTCTGGAAATTGTAGCCGTATCCAAAGGTCCCACAACGACAACTACCGTAACCTAAAAATATGTTTTTTTTTTCCGGATTTATTATCTCGATTTTCACTGATCTTCGTCGAGTTGTCTGTTATTTCCCCCAAAACTGAAAGCGCACGAAAATCGAGATTTTGAAAAAAAACTTTTTAAAAAAATATTTTTAGGTTACTGTAGTTGTCGTTGTGGGACCATTGGCCACGGCCACCGGCGTTTCTCTTCCATAACTCTTTTGTGTCAGTATAATATGATTTTTCAAAATTGTTTTCTAAAAGGCAATTTTCAAAAAAAAAGAGCTGAAATTATTTTAAAGCTTCGAAAGTGTTAAAATTGAAAATCTTTTAATTTGAAAGTCCCAAAAACCCTCTTTCTATCTTAAATTTCTCTGATCCCTATTACCGTAAAACTAGTAATAGAAGAGCTCCCACACTGTTAAGTTAAAGCTCAATGATTTCAATTCCTATGCAAGACATCAAAAATATGTCAACTGATAAACATTTTGTCAGTTGACAACTTTTTTATATCTTTGACAGGGACCGAGATAAATTGGCTCAAAGTTTGAAGCCCTTCTATCACAGGTTTTACGCCATTAATTTTTCCCCAATTTCAAATGACATATATTACCTTTCCCGAACGATTGTCCATTATTGCTTTGTATCGAAACCAAGTCCTTTTCCAAAGAAATACCTTTATATATGATTTCAATTTTTTCCAACACTACACAAATTAACGTTTTCCACCCAACAGATGGTCCACGTTCTAACATATATAGAAGAGAGAGAGAGAGGGAGAGGGAAAGAGAGAGATCACAAAAATTTGATCGTTGATGAGATTTTTGGGACAAACCAGAGAGGGGACAGGACCGGGAGTGAAGAATAAAATAGAGTAGACAGGAGAAGGGACACGTGGGAGACAGTATTGGCGAGCTGTATTTACATTTTCTAGAAGAATCGGATACTACTAACAAAATTTCAAATTTAGTCACAAATCATTCAATGGCACACTGAATGTCTTGGTTGCGGTAGTGCTCATGTTTTGACGCCGCGATGAGTCGTGATGTAGGCGAAATAAATAGCAAAGACGTTTCTTGAGAAGCGCACGGAAGTGCTCCGATGAGAGGCAGAAGAGCAGGAAGTTGAGAACTTTGCCAGTGACTGCCAACGAATTGCAGATGGCTTGCATGAGGATGTGTCGGCGGCTCTGTAATTGGGGTAGAATTGAAAGGGGAAAGGAAATAAAGAGTCCTACTTCGTCGAAATGATCGTCGCTTTCTTTCATGACAAAGACCACGGCTCCAGGGGCGTTGCACGCGATGAAGGAGCTCAGGATTACGGTAACCATTGCGGTGACCTGGAATTCAAAGTTTTGAGTTGTTCTTTTTGTTAGAGTATACAGTTTTGCAGTTGATTTTTGCCTATTTTCAGAAGTCTGGAGCTCGGCTGTCAACTGTCCGATATAAAATCTTCAAAGTTATCAGGCATTTGATCGCCGGGCTCCAGACTTCTGAAAATTGTCAAAATGGCTGAAAATCAACTGAAAAGTACTGTGAATTGGATTTTACCTTTCTCTCTGTCCTTGTCCTCTGCACAATCAAACTCTTATGAACATGCGAATCATTCAACATCCTTAATGGCATTGAGTTTCTTCGAAGAGCACAAACCAGCAAAATATTGAGAGACGTTGATAGAAACATTGGGATGATGACCACAAAGATCATATGGATGTACTGAAAATTGAGTTTTTGAAGACGTCATCTCATATACTGGACACTTGTTCCCCATAACAATAAGAAATCTAATTAGCCAACTAATTGTATTAATTATTTTTAAGCTTCCTGGTATGGGGAAATTGTACTGAGGTTTTTTTTGTTTCGATGAATAGAAGAATATGACTCAATTCCGCTTACCACAACATAACGGGCATACTTGCTGGCCGCACGTGTTTTTGGGTTGATGAAATGTACGATTGTGAGGAGGAGACAGAAGAAAGCAATCGAGAAAAGGGTCAGGAAAAAGCGGGTGGATGCGGATCTGGAATAAAAACTTTTAGACACTATCTGAACATTCGAAATTAACCTCTTGGATGTTCTGAATGGACTTCTGAACACCTGAACTCTCTCAATCGTAGCATACATCATGAACCAAATCGAACTAGCTGAGAACCAATTTAATATTCCTGCGATCACTTGAGAGAACCCGTTTCGGTACCATGGAGCATCTCGAATGGTTCCGATGAAGAAGAGAACAGATGGAATATGAAGAATCAGAAAGAACAAGTCTGCAAATGCCATAGCTGCGAAGATGAGGTTCGTCCTACTCCTCATAGCTCTGCTCAGTAGGACAACCAGGTTCAGAATGTTGCCCCCGCATCCGAAGATGATTTGAAGGAGTAGGACTTTGGAGTTGAGGAACATGACAATTTGTAGGATTGACATGTCAAATGGCACGACAGACGGAGAGCCGGAGACAGTAGAGTTGGTAGATCGGTTCATCTGAGAAAACGTCCTTAGAGTCGTTTTTAATACCGTAAGCACTCTTATAGAAGGGCACTTTTTTCTTGAACTTCCTGTAACAGATATCAAAAACTAGTCAACTAACAAAATGTGTATTACGATATCAAAAACATTTTGTCAGTTGACTACTTTTTGATATGTTAGAGAAACCGAGATATACAAGCTTTAAGTCCAAGTATAGGGTGGTTTTCTATTAGGGTTACGATAAGTTAGAGGTTGAAAGATAATATCGGGATACGTTTGAGAAGACAATGGTAACTTAATAATTCTTCAAAAAAGAGAAAAAAATGAAGAACAAAAAATAGGAAATGGTAATAAACAATTTCTGGATTTCTCAATTTTAATTGGAAATTCCAAGAATTGACATAATCGGGAAAAAATCCAAATCGCATATTTTAAAGTATCAGTCAAACTTATCAAATTTTGGAATTCTAAAATGAACAAATACTATAAACACTCTGATAGAAGGTCACCTCATTCTTGTATACTTCCACTTTGAGCTCTACTATCTCAATTTCCATAAGAGATATCAAATATTTGTCGGCTGATAATTTTTTGATCATAATATCACCAACATTTTATCAGTTGACCAATTTTTGTTATCTTTCACAGAAATCAAGCTGATTGAGCTTAATGGGGCCTTTCTATTAAAGGTGGGGGGAAATGAAAAAATAATTTTCTCGATATTTCGTTTAAATATGCCCCTCGAGGAGTTGAACTTATTGGGGCGATGATTGAGGGTGCGGCGCCGCTACCGACTGAGCCACGCGGGCAAAGAGAAAGCGGCCGCCCGATTGCATACATAAAGGCGAGGACGACAGCTGTACGCAGAGTGACATTAAGCGTTGTACACCGTCACGGTAGAATGCATACTCTGGCCCCAAAAATCCCCCGTAAAATCTCCTGTCCCCCCACCTTTAAAGTGTTTATTGACATTTCAAGATATTTGAACATATCAAATTTTAGACTATCCCATATTAATCCTAAACAAAAACAGCTCTGATTTTGCTCTTTTCCCCTCATTACTCAGGTTTTATACTTTCAACATGGATCAGTACATCATCATTGTCTCTCCGAAAATCCTCTCCCATGTTCTGGATCTATTTAATCCAAGTTCTGTGATCAGCACACCTGACTCATAGGAATTACAAAATCAAAGGAAAAAAGGAAGTAAACAACAAAACCATAACCATATATGCAAATTTGGTTCTCCCCCGCACTCAATGGATGTCTATAAAACCATCCTAAAAAATAAAATGTGACACTAAACTATGAAACTTCTAACCGTCCCTCTTCTTATTCTCTTGGTGGCTTCTAGCCAAATTTTGGCTGGGGAGGAAAGAAGACGTTGCCGTTCCAGCAAGCAATGCGACTACCAATCGGTTTGTGAGGTAGGACACTGCTACAGTATCGATGAGATGTTCGACAAGTATGGAATGAGATAAATTGTGATTTTTTAAAGAAAGAATGAATGATTCAGCATGCAACTGTTGAGTTAAAATTGAACATACCGTACCCACTCTAATGGAAAGCTCCCTCAATTTTGAGCCAATTTATCTCGTTTCCTGTGAAAGATATGAAAAAATGGTCAACTTATAAAATGTTGATCATAATACCACAAATATTTTATTAGTAAATTATTTTGCGATATCTCTTACAGTAACCGAGATAAAATGGCTGAAAGTTAAAAGTCATTAGGAGGGAGGAAAGGGGCATTCTGTTAGTGTTCAAGGTAGAATACAATGTCTGGAACTAATAGATAAAACAATGTACACTTTCTGGGAAATCCAATAATCTATTTTCAAAAAAAAATTCCAGGAACTTCTAGTCTAGACTTTGAATCTAGTATTTTTCTAAAATAGAAATGCTGTTCAGCTACATTATACCCAATCACGAAAATTCCAGAAATTCAATTTCTGAAAATCAAAAAGGGCTCTCGACCAAAATACGTGAAAACAAAAATTTTAAGGAAAAATTGAAGTCTTTGGGAAAGCGCACGATTCCTTTTCAGGTTCTTTTCAGCAAGGAAAAGTTGGAGGAGGAGTTGTGGAATGAGGTGTACTCCCGGAAGCCGTGGCTAATTGGGATGGTAGAAGACAAAAGAGGAAGAAGTGGAAGATGAGCTGGCAGCTACTGGAATGATAGAGTATTGACACGTACTAGTTGAAAGTAACAATTAGAGAGACGATGGTCAAAAGAAGAAAAAGGAAAGCGAAGATAACAAAGAATGGGGAATTTGCAGATTAGGTGACGGCTAAGACTTGTTATCCGTTGATTAGTAAGCGGATCGCTTTTCTCAAAATTCCAGTGAATTCGGATTTAGACAGGGAGGTGTGGGAATCCCGAGTGGATTTGAAAGCCAAGAAATTAAAGGTGCGTAGATGTTGGCTCCGCGTCACTTCGAAACTGCGACACTTCGAAATCAATTTTGAGAGTTTTCAAATATTGTAAAACCTCCATTAGAAGGGCCCTCTGAGGGTGGCTTGGAAAAATAGAAGGGTCACTGTAATAGAAGGGCCCCGGTAATAGAAGGACCAGAGATGTCCGGAACAGACATGAGCGGAATTCCTTATTCCTTATTCCGGGTGTTTTTTCTATTCCTTATTCCTTATTCCTTCTTCCGGATTTTAAATTTTTCATTCCTTATTCCTTATTCCTTCTTCCGAGTTTTTTAATTGTTATTCCTTATTCCTTATTCCTGATTTTTTTGTTATTTCTCTTCAAAACTTTAAAACTTTTTCTATCAAAAATCAGAAAAAAATTCTCAAAACTGGGAAAAAAATTTGAACGCTCTAAATTGCCTTGTAACATTTTGTTCAGCGGAGCACCTTTGCACCGTTTTTCGAAAAAATTTTTTTTGGAAATCTTGGAAAAGTTATGCGTTTTTCTTAGTGTTTTTTTCGAAATAAATTTGGTTTTTACAATTACTAAATACTTCAGAAAAAATGCCTAAAAAACGGAGCAAGTTTGACGAATTCTTTGTCAGAACAGACAACGAGGCAACTTGTCAAGAATATGACGCGAAAATTATTTGGACAAAAACGAGTGGAACGAATTCTGCTTCTTATAATTTGAGCAGATATCATCCAAAATTAAATGAAAAGGTTTTTTGTCAATTAAAAAATGTGAAATTGGGAAATTTCAGATGAAAAATGATGCAATTGGCGAGAAAAAACGGAAAGATGAAATTGAGTTAGCATCGCGAAAACTTTCGTTCCTTATTCCTTATTCCTTATTCCGGATTTTCAAAATTTTTATTCCGTTCATGTCTGGTCCGGAATGACTTTTTTGAGAAACGGAACCCGGAATCCAGAATCCGGAATTCGGAATCCGGAATACAGAGATCGGAATTTTGAGGTCTCCGATGAGCATTAAAAATGTTAAGAAAGACATTTTGGGCTTTATTTTTGGATTTTAAATCTTTGAATTTCAAAAACGGCAGAGAATTCGTGCAGATTAACACTTTTTCTGAAAAATCCGGAATAAAAAAATTTCTCGGAATCCGGACAAATGAAATTTTTCCGGAATCCGGAATCCGGACAAAAATATTTTTCACGGAATCCGGAATGAAAAAAAGCACGGAATCGACTCCGGAAGTACCTCGGACCAATAGATGGGCCGGGCCTCCTAATATAGGTTTTACGGTATGTCTTTTCTGATTTTCATACATTCTAAAACTCGGAAAATTCAAAAACAAAAAAAAATTGAAAAAATTAACATTTGGTTTTCAAAATTTAGAGTGCGTTCTATGAGAAAAAGCCTATTTAAAAACCCTATACTTGTTTTTGTATTCTGAAATTTATCCAATCGCCTGTAATACAACGGTTTCGAAATGACTGGTTTCGCGGAGCCAGAAATTATAGGTGCGTTCAATTGACGATATATTGGATCTGTGAAGATTAGAATTGAGGTCAAGACTAGAGTTTCAAAATGTCAGGATTATAAGATTAGAGGATGCACTCAGATGGTGATTTCATGGGAAATGCTTTGAGCCACTTTTTCCCAGACAAACATTTGGGATATTCCAGACTAATCAAGTGTTTTTTCACATGGAAAAAATGATAACAAAACGAAAAAAAGATTAGGAATTGAATGTTTATTGATCAAAAAGAACCGAACTCTAAGAGTGTCATCTGCTAAAAATTGAGGAATTCCTAAACACGGAAATTCAGGAGAAGCATCGCGAGGCAATTATTTCTACTACTTTCTACTTTTCACGCAGCCTCTAGATTTCTGAAATCGTATGATTCATGCCCCAATCTTTGATGGATACTAACTAAATGAGATGTGTGAAAAGGGGGTTTTTGAAATGAAATCGAGTCTCTTATTATAAAGGGTTCATCTAGTCTCGGGCGTTTATTTATCTTGTTTGTGGGGGTGGATATGTTCGGTAAACCAGAGGATACGAAGGTCATGGATTCAAAGATTGAGTATTTTCAAGACGATTCTCAAATAAGAACATTCGAACAAGATCTTTGTATGGCTGGAATAGAACAAAAAGTTATGGATGAAAGGAGTAAAAAATTGGAGAGAGGGAGAGATTAATTTCATTTGCGCTTGGATGTGGAAATTGTTCCAGTAATAGAGTTATCGGAAGAATGTTTGACTAGACTTGTGATTTGATCGATAGTTATGTAACTTCTGGGTAAGGCTTCCATTTTGGCCAGCCGACCGACCGGCAGACCGACCGAATTCTTGCATTTGCGCGTCAAAATTCCAGAAATTGTTTAAGTTCGCTTCAGTTTCACAAAATCAAAAAATGCGTCCGCAAACACTCCCTGACTAGTTGACGCTCAAATTCAAAAATTCGGTTGCTAAAGTGCAAACGATGGTTACCGTAAAACCTGTATTAGAAGGGCCCCTAACTTTTTAATTTGAGTCAATTTTCTACGGATTTCTACTACAGGTTTTGCGGTAGATTAAAAACCTTAGTAGTTGGCAACAGCCTTTTTCTCTGGATTCTCAGGGTTGGAGAAATT